AGCTGTCACCTGGATAGGAAAAAAACTGTAAAAGTAACTCTTGTGTTTTGTTTTCTTGTGCAGAATTCCCATCTTTACCATATAGAGTATATCTGCACTACACTGTACATGGAGTAGGTGAGAGGATCTGACCGATTGGGCTGATGGTAAACTAAGATTTTCTCTACCTCAGGTATATCCCTCCTGGACCCTGCGTCAGGGCTGGACAGCAACTGGCCTTCCTCCAGGCCTTCAGAAACCCGCTGACACTTCACCTCAGCAGAGCTCAGAAGTACGTCAAAAAACTCCAGGAATGTAATCTGCAGCAGAAAGTGTAGGAATACACAAAGCGGGTGAATGATAATTTTTATGGGCTCTGAGACATACCGGTAATGAATGAGTCAATGGGTGTAAACCACTGGTGTAAACACTGCAGGCAGACCTCCAAATCCACATTAGAGGACAGGTTGCTGGGGTCACGGCTCTCTGCAGTGATGATCTCCAGTAATCTCTCTGTGGTCAGGTTATTGTCCAGCAGACGGAGATCCTGGCAGGAGTTACCAAACATATAATAAACATAATTATTTCATCAAGTCATTCAAAATTGGGCAACCCTCTGGCTGGGCTGTAGTAACAAGCAACATAAACTGTATCCATTTCTTATGCTAAGTGGAAAAAAATGAATAAGTAGTAGTTCGTATGCATGGTAATCTTTGCTGCTGCAGTCTGTTGCACCTTGAACATCCACAGCATGTGTCGACAGGTCATGGTCTGGTCATCTCTGGGGGCTGCATTGACTTTGCAGTAAGCCTGGTAGATTTCCCAGCACTTATTTAAGTAGTTCACAGAAACCACGGCAAAGCCTGGCTGCTTGAACAGGAATCCTGGACCAACACAGCCACAGTTAATGAGCACAGCTATTACTGCATAATATAGAGCCTCAGCATTAGTTTCTGTAAGTGGCAAAACACGCAACAATACCAGACAAGCAAGGAACCTGCAAATATCTTATTAAATAATCATTTTGCTATCCAGATTCCCCCCTTTGAGGCTTCTATATGAAATCAGTTTGCAGGTTCCTCTGTCATCCTAATATGTACGTGTGCACACGAGCCTGTACTATATTGCTGGCACCTTTTACATTCTTAGCATTAGGGAGGATGTTGTCTGTCATCAGTTTGGAAAAACAGGCAGCCAGAAGGTTTTTCTGAGACCTATGAAAAGAAGAGAAGTTATGTTTCTCTACTAAAATCAGGATAAAAAAGTTTACATTCAAATTGTAAGAGTCACCCTTACACCATGTCCTTATGGTAGATGTGGTAGGCCACAACCACTAGACAGCTGAGGAGCTTACGAAAGAGCATTGCAGTGAAAGGAGAGTGGATCTCCGCTGGAGCGGCATCCTCTGAGACACACAGACAGTAAACATTAAGCAGACGTCTACAAAAATATTGCCATTATGAAGCTATCAATGTGTGTATATGTGAGGTGGATTAAGTATGTCAGAGAGACTGTGAGTGAGTCCTTCTCACCTCTGATAAAATGGTCAATCTGTGTGAGAGTGATGTCATGATGGTGGATGTTGCAGTCTTTGAGTAGGCGCCAGAGCTGCAGGCGGGTCAGCAGGAACACATTATTTGGGGAATGGGCATGGCCAAGTCTGCTGTAGAAACTGTAGACAGACCTCAACTCTACACCATGCATGAGCACCACAAACTCCACCTGTTACACATGAGCCACAGCATCAAGGCTGGACCGAGGTGAAAATAAGGATGTGGGGAAAATATTTTACAGTGTGGAGTGGGACCTGACCTGTTTATGCTCAGTGTCGCGCTCTCTCTCAGGGATCATATCCAGCAGATATTCAATGTTCAGAGCCATGTCGGGTCCTAAGATGGATGAATCACTATCTGACAGAGGAAATGCAACATGTTTAAGATATACAATTGTAAGCCACTGTACCATTAATAGCAGGCTGAGCATTTTTAACGGAGCTAATATACAGTAGGTGTTTACCACACAGATGAACAGGAGTTCTGTTTCCGTCCAGGCTTTGTGTCATCATCCGATCGTCCACAAACTCTCCTTCAAAGACACGCCCATCCTTAAAAGTAAATTTTCCCTATGAACCATATAGTTCAGTCATTTTAGATATTTTGTGAGAAAATATGTGTGTAAAGGTGTGAATACTGGAAGTATTTGAATGAGTCAAACAAGTGGCAAAACACATTTCCAAGCTCTCAAGTTAATCTTACAATTAACTAAAGCATTAGTAAAAAGTATTTGCTACTTCCAAGCAAGGAGCCTCCGATGCTTTTCACTCTGGAGTTTACTGAATTTGGAAATGTTTGTGTATTGACTGTGAGAGGCAGTACTGTATGACTGATTAACCTTCCCGTGTTTTTTATTGTTCTTCCACTCCCCTTCATAGATCTCGCCAGCAGCGTAGTAAAAGGCTCCTTGTCCGTGCCTCTGACCCTGAACATAATCTCCTGTATACTGATTGCTCTGGGAATACTGGGATCCATCCACTCGCCTCAGGATCCAGACGTGTGTGCCTCGCCCATGCTGCCAGAGAAAAGAGCATTCAACATTTCAAGCAGGGTAAAAAGCTCCAGTACTGGATATAATAAACAAACTGTGGCATGGGCTTTACTTTTTTTAGTGTTACCAGCTGGATATGTTAATGTAAATAGTCCGGTTGAGGGCTAAGATAATGTTACAGGATAACTTTCATACCTGGACTCCATTCTGCCACATGCCATCATACTGCTGTCCCAGTTTTAGCCACCTCATGGTGCCCTCTCCATGTCTCAGGTTGCTCTTCCACTCACCAGAGTAAATGTTACCAGAGGGATAGCTGTTAAGACACAGAGTTCACCTGTTAAAATGCAACTGAGGCTACAGATGAGACTATGTTCTCCATACATACCATCTCACTCCCTGTCCCTCTCTGTTGTTCTTCACCCAGTCTCCTTTGTACCACGAGGTCTGATCCTGGTTATAATACACTGCACCCTAACACAAAGACAACCAATTCACCTTGTTACTACAAAAACAAATCTTTAAAAAAAGACTATACTAGATATTTAATTGATTATACCTTTCCGTGCCTCTTGCCTCGCTCCCACTCCCCTTTGTATGACACACCACTTTTTGCACATATGTAGGTTCCAGTCCCGTGTCGTATACCATTGTACACCTCCCCCTTATAGGAGCTGCCATCCAGCCAGGTGTAGGTACCATGGCCCATGGGCATGTTGCACACAAATTCTCCCTGCACACAAATTCACATAATTTATTACACCTGTCAAACTGTTTTATTGTAACATACTCAGTTTTATTTCATTTTGTGTGTACCCAGGATGCATATTTAGAAATGTTATGTACACATTGGTTTTTATAAACTATTTTGACAATTGCTTATGAAACACTCAGTACATCGTTATTATAGCCTTACCTCATATTTCAATCCACTTGCATGTGTGAAGACCCCTCGTCCATCCATTAGTCCCTTGGCAAACATCCCCTTCAGAAAAACAAAACAGTGACTATATGATATAGTGTTTATTTAACCTTACAGTGCATTTTCAGAATAAATGTATTTGTGAATGCATGTTGTATTTTTGTCTTAGCATGGCAAGAGTACAACAAATGATTACATTTAAATATATATCAGAAATACAATTCATTCATTCATTCATTCATTCATTTGAGTTAATTGACAACTACTTTTTTAATGTTCTACAATAGGTTAAATGATTCATAATGTATGCATTGCATTGTACAATTAAATATAGTCTTTTCCAGTGATTTTAAAATGTTAAATCATACCTTGTACATGTGTCCTCCTTCGAACCAAGCGACCCCTTCTCCATGAAACTGTCCTCCACACGTCTCCCCTTCATGTCTGTCAGTGAGACACCACAATTTACAATCCAGCTCCAATCAACCACAGGCACAACAGCATTCATCGGTGTGTTACTGCTCTAAAAAACAAAATAAAAACCCCATTTCACAGCAGCCATTTGGACATGAAATAGGGTAAACACAGGTGATGATTGAATTATACGTTCAGTGTAGCAGAGCCTTTGCAGTGAGCGGAACGGAACCTTAATTAAGTATCACTGGTATCATCATTGGTGTTTGTTTACCCTACTATTTCATGACCAAATGGCTGCTGGGAAAAAGGTATGTGAACGATGACTTACCTTTGTACAATTAAGCTAAAAAGTGTAGGAAAGTCATTATTACTCCCGGGCAGCTCGTCGTGGAGAGGAAGGTCCTGGAGCGTGGTGCGGTTGTCTTCCTCTGAGGAGCTCACTAACTTTATTTTGTCTCTCCCCTCCGCTGTCTGCGGCAGCTCTGCGCTCCCGCACGCTGTCCTGTTTTCCTGTTTATCGCCTTTCATCCTAGTTTTCTTCTTTTCTTTGCCCTGTGTCATTTTGCGCTGTTTATGTATCTCTCGAGCAAGCCCGGGCCGTCTCTATGGTAACGGTAAGGGGCGCTTACAGCTACGGCAACCTTAATTAGTCAAAAAGGGCAATACAGTGAACATCTGGTACTAGTGGTGGAATATTACTAATTTAAGTTAGTACACTCGAGTATTTCCAACCTTATAGCCTACTTCTACTCTACTATATCTCACAGATAAATACAGAACTTTTTACTACATCTGTCTGACTTTCATACCCTGGAGTCCAGTGAAATCCATGTATTTCCAAATTTGGTGATTTTGACTTTTCATTTTTGTGATAACCTGAAGGATGAAGTGTTCCTTTATGGGTTGAGAAAATCATCATATATCATAAAACCCTTTTGGATTTGGACTCTTTACTGTTGGATAACAGTAAAACACTGACTGGGTCCATTTTCTGCATAATGAGTACGTTAACTTTTAATTCTATGTTTACTTAAGTAAGGTTTTAATTGCAGGGCCTGTACTTATAGTTTAATATTTTAGCCTACTTTTACATATTGATCTGATCTTTAACAGTACAGAAAACAGAAGGTGGCAACACTTGTTGCAGTATATCTTGTTTATTTCCCCCGATTAATTGGGTCCTAAAATATAAAAACATTTATTTTGTGATGCAAAATACTAATAAAATCAGAACATATCTTAACAGATATAAAGATAGACACACTAAACAATCAATACCAAGCATTCGACCATACAAATATACAGAATCTATGGTTTGGACTCTTCTTGTCTATTGGTACATTATCAAGGGTGATCTTTAACAGAAATAAACTGTAATGAAAGCACATTCCAGTTGCATTAAGCCAGTGTGAAGTAAGGTTGCTTCCTTGATGTGGTCAGTCTTGTGAGATCATGTCCAGGTTGGCGAGGTGTCTCATGGTGGGCCTGCCGTGAGGACAGTTCCATGGATGCTCAATCTCCCCCATGTGAACCAGGAGCTTCTTCATCTCACTGACGCTCAGAGCAGTGCCGATCATCACCTGAAGATGCACATAAACAAGACATGTGTGTTAGTAATGTTATTTAATTAAGGCCAGAACCTGGTCTGTGTAAATATGTTAAATATATGTTATTGTCACTATAAACTCACAGATTTCCGACAGGCTCGGGAGGCAAACATCTGCCTGACACGGGATGGTCGACACATGACCCCCGGGCTGTCACTCAACATGAAGATGAGCTCTTCAATGTCGGCTGGGCCAAATGTCCAGTTTTTACTGGTGGGCAGAGATACCAGCTTAACCCTCTCCATCACCTGAGCTGCAGTCCCAATAAAAAAAAGAGAGCTGGTTTAAGTATTTGTAACCGTGCTAATAAAATCAACTAATGTTTAATCTTTAGTTTATTCAACGAGTAAACGTTCATACCTTCCTCATTGACAAGAAATTCAAAGCCGTTCTTTCTGAAAATCTCAATGTTCTCTATGAGTACATTTTCACTGACAGCAGTGAGGTGAAGCTTCTGAGGGCTGCAAACATAAAGGAAAAAAAACAAAAATAGTCAGTAGAAATATCACTCTAAACAACACAAGATAAAATGTATCAGCTGATTTAGATTCATACACTATGAGTTTCTGTCCTTGGAGCACAGTGTGCTGCTGCAGCATCTCAAAGTTGTATTTCTCGTCTGTGGCGTGCTGGTCGATCATAAAGATGTCTGAGTTGAGTTTGGTGATAATGAAGCCCAGGTTAAACTGACCAATGATCTCCATTTGTTTGAACATATCCTTACTGTAGGAAGATAATAAAGATCATTTACTGTTGTGGAAATTACATGACAATATTGGCAAGTTCAGTTACAGGAGGAAAATCCTACCTGATCTCTTTCTTGAGCTCTTCCTCTGCACTCTGGTTTTCTCCAGGATTGATCTTGGCCCTGAAGCGCCGATAACGCAGACTGTCATCGGCCTTCTGTTTCCGCTGGTCCTCTAACCTCTTCACCTTCCCTGCCAGCTCTTGTAAAGAGAACTGGAGAGGCACCGTCCTCCTCTGTAGGCAGACTGGAGCATCCACCGTTGAGGAAGATTTCTCAAAACAGTGTGAAAAAGTGTTGGATTTCTGTTCTGTAGGGAACTTAAGTTTCTCTGACCTGGCCCTCTTGGCATCCGGACTCACAGTACAGTCCTCGCTGGAGGCGTGCGGCTCAGTCTGTAACTCTGGGTCTTCAGGAACAGCGTGACTATGGTCAGACGTTTCTTCGAATGTTTCATCTTTCACAGCGGGTCTGTCGGTGTCTGGTTCAGGTGTTCTGAACTGAATATCTGGTGTTGCCATGGTAACGTCACAACCGGACACAGCGCTGTCTTTTTCAGAGTCTGTATCACTGAATGTTGCTCCATACCTGAACCCATCCAGCACTGACTTTCCCACCGGGGAGCATTTAGCTAGATCTCTTGTGGGTTTCAAAGGAGATTTCCCACTCAGGGTGCAGGAAGGAGGTTTGACATTGCCTTTAAAAAAAGACTGCAGTGTTTTCTGTGTTGGGCCACTGTTGGCAGCTTTTGCCACACTTGAATTGGAGCTCTGATGACTTGAATAAGCAGCTTTTAGGCCGGCCAGGTTTAGTGACGACTTTGGCCTCTGAGTGACGGGTTCCTCTCCGGGTTCTGCCTTGTTCTCATTAGATGAGAAAACCTGACAGATTTCAGTTGCTGTTGTATCTAGAGACAAGTGACAGAATAAAAGCAGTGACTATAATATCAATATATACATCTTATGTGTTGATATGCAGGCTATATGTAATGATTAGTTCTTACTGGTGCTGGGTATGGGTGTGTAGTTCAGGCTGATCTTATTGACTCCAGCCTCATACATGTTGATAAGAGACGTCTTCAGAATAGCCAATAAGAGTTTCTCCTCTTGAAGAAAAATCTGGCGTTTGTCTGGGGTGACGTTCACATCCACACACTCTGAAATAACACCACAAAATCGCTCATGTAGAACAGAAAATCAGCGTTGTGCTTCTCAAATAACTTCGATTCAGCAATTTGCTTACCAGAAGCAACGGCTATGTTCAAGGCAACAAATGGATATTGATGTCTGTTGTACATATGATACACTTCGTTCACAAGTTTGGTCACCTGCAAATTGGGAATAACCAGAGATTAGGTGGGAAACTGTAATACTTTAATTTAAATCCCCCTATTTAGCATTCATTAACAGTATATAAACATTTAATAAATGGTTCATGAGGCTGAAGCTGAAAGCAGATATGTTTATTAATGTAGTTTTCAGCAACTATAACTCCTCCTGTGGGCACCTAGAAGTAGAGGCTAGAATGACTGTTGTAATTACATAGCATATGTCCATATAAAGACTTAAAAATGTCCCTACATCCGCTTACAAGTAGATAATATAAGTGTTATAAACTATAATTAAGTATATACTGTTTATAAATGCTAAACAGGGGGACTTAAGCTGAGCATGAGTTACCTTAAGGGGATCACAAGGCCGGTTGTTAATGAAAAAGAACTGCCTGTCTGTGGCACTTCTCCCAACACCATGGTCTCCTCGTGACACAAACCCTGTGATGCTGCCAAAACAGTTTTTATTAAAAAACAACAACAACACTGCTTTGTTTGAAGAGAAGACATACATACATTGGACTTCCATACAGTGACAGTGACATGGTGACACTCACGAAAACAGCTGTTTGGGTAGATCTGCATCTTTGAGTCCATATTCTTCAATAACATTTTCTGTGGGGGACACTTGCTGAAAAGGCAGAAGACTCTGTATCTGCAGAACACACAACAGACAATGAAATTAAATATTTAGCAAACCAAATAAGGAAAAGTTGGCATATTTTTCTTTAACTGAAGAATTACACAGTTACTCTAAGAGTTGGGGAGATTCCTCAACTCTTGGATTTTGTTTTAAGACAGAAGAAAAGGGTTTAATTTAGTTTAAGGCAGCAGAGTTGAGACCATTGTCCCACAACAGTCATACAGTCACTGACGCCTTCTGCAGATTGCTAATAAACAGTACAGTCAAGAAAAATGTTTCAACCTGTTTTGGTCCAAATATGGCCCCTATGTTGTCTCTCATACACTGGCTGCCGCTGGTGCTGAGGACCGTGCTGCGCTTTCCCTGCCCATTTTGGTTGGAGCAGGTAATACGCACTCCAGTAGAGATGACACAGTAAGACTGCAGAATATGTATCATTTTGGCATACTCCTGAAAATACAAAACAATCAAACATTTTGGATTAAAGATGAATGTCACAGGTAGACAAATAAATTCTAAGATACAACAAAAAAAGAAGCGTTTTACTTTAGATTTTGTTTTAATATTCATGCTATGTTAAATATGTCACTCTCGCTGCGTTCACATTGTGCTTTCCTATATCCTTGTCCTGTGTTACACTTCATTTTTACATTAATTTATGTGTTTTTCCTTTCCTCCTGGCCTCTACTGGGATCCATTCATGGATGAAAATCAAATGTCAAATGTTTGAAGAGCATTGATTGTTTCCTTCCTTAAGATGGTCAAGGACCCATCAGATAATGAATGCACCACCACTTCTCCGTTTGCATGTAATGACAAAGTAACTTTCCAAAATAATTATCAACTAAATGTTCACTGTTATGTATTGCTAAACCACTAAGTAAGTGTAAAGTCATGCAAAACAATTATATGTAACATGAATTGAAATCAATGCTGCTGAGAATGTAGGACAGACTGTTAAGTTTCGTAAGATGTCATTTGTAGTTAAATAGTGTACAAGTGTACAGAAACATAGAGAAAGAATGATCCATTAATGACTGACCTTCTTGATATTGCGTTGGAACTCCTTGTGTCGAACAGGCAGGGTGTAGAAGAGTTGCTGCAGGCTGACTGTGGAGCCTTGCTGCCGGGGATGGGGTGACTGCTGCACTAGGTGCCCTTTGTGGTCAAACACCAGCTTGGTCCCGACCTGACTGGACTCATGGCACGTCACTACACTCAGATTACTGGGAGCAGGAAGGAGGGAGGGGAATCTTAGCTGATGAGGTGAGAGGTGACGTAGGTTTATGTGCTGAATGAATGTGGCTGTTTAAGGGTTTACCTCAGAGCACATAAAGAGCTGAGGGCTTCACCTCTGAAGCCAAATGTTTCCACATGGATGAGATCAGAAAAGTCCCTCAGCTTTGAAGTGTGATGCTTTAATGCTGCGGAAGAAACAGAAGAAATTTCACTTCACCAAAAAAGTTAATTAGACTTGGACTAACTGGGTAAAGATAAATAACTGACACTTACTCAGTCCTTCAAAGTTGGCTTCTTCTACTCCTTTGCCATTGTCAGACACCTCCACTAGTTCAGCTCCACACTCCTTCAGTCTGACATCTGGAACAACGATGTGATACTGAACTCAAAACATGACACTGCAGTTTCAGACCAACTGTACTGGACTGTAACACATGAGCATCTGTCAGCATTCACAACTGTAGCCAGGCTCTTGTGGAGGGCTATCAAACCCCCAGTATTACACTGTGTGCATCAATACTTACCAATGTTGGTGGCCCCTGCGTCTATGCTGTTTTCCACCAGCTCTTTGACAGCCGTAGCCAAAGTCAGCACCACCTGTCCTGAGCAGATCTGATGTACTGAGTGCTTGTCAATGGCCTTGATGGCTCTGGCAGGTTCAGAGCTGCTGAGAAGAAAACCAGTACTCAGTGATGTATATTTCTACCTTCTGCTGAATTTATATTGCAGCAACAGACTTATTACATGTACAGAGAGGTAGGGGGAAAAAATCAAAGCTCCTTCAACCATCTGATCTGTGATGAATACAGGGTGATTGTGGGGATTCCAGCTGATTTAATTATAACAAATGATGTCTTGCTAAATAAATAAATATTAATTGGAGGTTATACTTATACTATATTATAAATTGCCTCTATTATAACGAACATGTGTATCTTTAAATGTTATTTAGGCTACATAATACACATGAACTTGCAGATTACCCAGTTAAGTGAGGTTCAAGTTAATCTACATGAAGACGGAAGGGTCTCAAATGTAACACGTTTTATTTGCATGGCGTAAAACCGAAAATATCTGCAGGCAAGTTAAATAAAGAAATAACTCCGGTAGCTAACTTACCACGCATCAGACATGTTCAAAGAGTAAAAGGCTTTCAGGAGGTTTCTGACTCTGAAACAGTGGAAGGAAGAGACACCCGTTAATTAGTCGCCATTGTTAAACAAATGGAGCTACTTTGTTTTCACTGGTGGTGACACAGTGTCAGCGTGCTACCGACTTCACGACATCATGTAAACACAACAGTGAAGATGTACCGCGCGAGTGCGCAGATGGTCCGCGAGCGTCACCCATGCGCACAAACTGCGCATTTTGACTATTAAAAGTAATAATATAAAATGTTAAGTGTGTGAACAAAGCAAACTCACAAAACGAACACAAAATGAGTAGAGTGATATTAGTGTCGAACAATATAAGTGCATAAATAAGTCCTCAAACTTTGTAGCGTTTCATCATCCAGCCCACGAGATGTCGAGATGTTAGGGCGCATGTGCAATTATCTCATATTGTAACAAACGAATAAATATATTTTTGTTTCAGGGTTATTTTAAATAGGTTGAAGCTGTACAATTATATGTATATTATAACACAGCAAATACACTTATTTTATCCTGGTTTTGATGATTTATTTATTTTAATCAGTTCTTCTTGTTGTAACTAAAGTACGGACATTGTCAGACGGTCCCTCGGGGGGAAACATGGCCGCCCGTTGACAAGACCGACCATATGTAGCTTGTCAGACAATTGTAAGCATGTAAACATATGAGCAGCCAGGATTTAAAGAGTAGTCCGACGGATCTTACAGCTGATATGGGGTAGCTGTTGCGTATCGGGCAGCGTTTTAAAAAAAAAATAAGTACTTTGTTTTGACTGCTCATCATTTTTGAACACCCAACAATGTACAGTTCAACGTCCACCAATGGGCTGCTGCGGTCGGAGGAAGGTTCTGGTAGCAACCTCTTGGTCCACCACAACATCAAACCCATCAAGAGACCCGAGGTCGACAGTAACGTCAGCCTGTTAAGTCTGGCAAGCGAAGAGGACGAGGAAGTGCAGTTTGACAGTAAGCAGCTTTTCTTCTTGTTGCTTCCTTTACTGATCTGTAATGAGTTGGGTTAGGTTATCCCATAATACCTGACACAGTAATAATGCCAAAATAAAACGTCCGATTATGAGTCGTAAGACTTTGTAAACATATAAACAGCCAGCGGCGTAGTTAAGGAACAATAGGCCATGTGAACAACATACCCCCCCCTTAACTGTAGTAAAAGTGTCACCCTACCATTACTCTACAGATATCATTCATTTCCTTTCAGTATTTACTTAGTTTGTGCAGGTACAACAGCAGGTAAATGGGTAAAGCTACTATATCCTCAGCTTTTCGAAATGCAATAACAAGTTAACTAATGCTTCAGTATGCGCCTATGTCCATTTTCTTAAATGGTTTAATAATAAAACATTATTAAATAGTTTGCAGTTAATAAAAAGCAGAGTTGGCGTTCATTTCGGTCCAAACCCAAACAACATGCATTTAATCAAACTCATCCATAACTCAGATTTTTGGGCAGTAACCAGCATCCACCAGTCGTCCTCCATTCAGAATCTCTATAGTGAGATGAAGTTTATCCAGTAGACATTTTATTCCAGTTGTCTTAGTTTATATTATTTATCCTCTAGCACAGTCATTGTTGAGGCACTTGTAGATTTTAGTGTAATCCTGTTTTAGTATAGTGTCTTTTCCTCAACTTTGATCCTTACATCAGAAAAACAATGGCTGAATATCTGACATGGGTATTCATTATGTGCTTTAATGGCGGTTTGTGTAAAACTGTTGATATTCATTGGAAAATTGTCATATTGCTATGTATGAAGGTTTATTATTGATACATATTGCTGTTGTTTTATATCTCAGGCCTAGTCCAGTCCTGTTTTCTATTGCATGAAGAGAAATTATTAATTAGTTGTTTACAATGCAAGTAGATGTCACCCAGAACTGTTGCTGTCTAATGTTAATGCACAACTACACAACCTGACATGTTTTTTCTTTCCATTGAAATATGTACCACAGTATATTGATATATTGTTGTATTAATCAGTGTGTTGATATTGTGGTATTAATCAACATTAGAAGAAGGTCTTATGGGTAATGTGCCATCTCTTTCTGTACAGTCCAACCCTAATGAACAGGCTTCAAGGGCCACTCCAGCAATTTGATACTTCACATACATAAAGTAGAAAAACGTTTGTGCGGCAGACTAAAAATAGAAGGTCAAATCGAAGCAACAGATGCATGGATATACAGGCTTTTTTTTCCTAGTAGGAGTTTAGGTTCAAAATTGGTGGATCCTACATTTCCTATAATGCAACTTAACAGCATCTTTCCATCCTTCCTCACCCTGTTTGTGGAAAGTGTTTAAAACCACAAGCCGGACTCAGGTTTACCCTGATGACATCATAAGGGTTATTTTGTCAGACTTTAGAAATCTCCCTCCGGTGTCACAGATACATTTATACTGCTGTTTTCACAGGCTGGGTAGTACTCTCCATGACAAGTAAATTGACCTTAATGTGTAAGATATTATACAAACTTTTGGTGACAATTTCGTTTATATGGGTCTAGTGACATCATCAGGATGTAATATCAAGTCAAATCTTAGTTCAGCAAAACATTTATACTTCAAAACTAGTCAAGACTTGCCCCTCCACACCTCCTCTTGTATGATGAAATGAAAGTAAATTGTCAGATGACTTTGCTGGAAGGAACAGCCCCTCCTTTCCATTCTGGCATAGTGATGAGCTTGGTCCTGTGAGTACAGTTAGGTGGAGGGGGCTGGTGTCCACTGGAACAGGCAGATAAGCATTACTGCTGTGCACGCCCCCTTATGTATAAACAAGATGATCTCAATTTTTTGAAATGGATACGAAAAGGATAATCATTAGTGCAGTTCTGAGTGCTTAATATTGGACCAAAGGTTTTTCTATACAGAAAAATGGACCTAGGAGACAAAAACATTGTTGAAATGATAGCAAAAGTTATTGAAGAAGGTAAGACAAAAGAGAATATATGTGGTGGTTATATGTGTATGTGCAACAAAGTCAAATATAATCTGAATTGTTATTTTGTGTTACATGTTTGAGCACTTTGTAACAAACGATGCAATCTGATACTGTCAAACTCTCAAATACAACCCTGTATCTTTTATTTTATCTATATAGTAATGTAAGTGACTATATTTTTGTTTTATATAGATGAAAATGAGTACTGACACAATGATACACCGCAAGTATAATTTGCGGTAGTTCAATAAAGAATATTTATTAGGAAAAATTACTCTATCCACTGTTTCCTATTTCTTATATATATATTTTTATTTTTCGTGCTCAGCTTCTGACACGGATGATAACCGCGAGGTGTTGATGGCTGGTAGACATTACCTGTCCATCCAGGAGTTTGCTTCAGCAATCCCCAACCACCTTCTCCTGGGGTCTCTACTGGAGCACCTATGCTTCGTTTATGAGAGCAATCCAGCACGCTCACGCATGCTGTTTAAAGGTATGTACTGAGATTATGTAAAGGTATTAAAAGCTCGTTTTAAAACTGTAGAAGCGCGTTCTGTCTATACATATAGTACTTTGACATTTATTGTTTGTAATTAAGTTCATATTTAGTTACAAATAATTTTGTCGTTGACAGTCATTGGCCAGCGTTTAGCTGCCATGAACCTCCTCTCACCTTTGGCCATAAGTGATGAGTTCAGCACCATCAGACTGCAGCACAACCGGGCCTTCACTGAGTTGCTTCATGCTGCCAGCTCCTCGCTGTATCCACAGGTAACTGGACTAATCACCAATATGTCTACTAGGTGTCTTTTTTTGTAGTTATTTTTAACAAATTATGTAAAGTCAGTGTTTCTACTTGGTGTAATAGACTTAGACTTAGACAGACTTTATTTGTCATGTGGATTTGCACCAAAATGAAATTACGTTGCAATGGCACATAGCACAACAGGAAATAGATATGCAGATATAAAACATTTATATAAAACATTTCTATAAAAAAAACCCGTAGATAATATATATTGCACAATTTTAGATGCCTATGTAAAAGAACTTTTGTATATAATACAAGTAAGAAAAATGCGATAAATATATCTTTTGTATAAAAGACAGATAAAAATAACGCAATATAAAGATAATTGACATTGTCAGTAAAGGTAGTCATCAAAGCAGCAAACTTAGATTAGACTTTTGTAAACTGGGAAGTGCTTCAACTGTTTACTTACAGGTACAATCACATGTTAATTGTTACTTTGGTAATCTTCTTTTCATATTGCAGGGCCAACAACGTTCCGGCACAAACACACACAATCCTGCAGTAAGGTAGGTTGCACTTCAGAGGAATATTTGTTATTATTATTATTATTATTTCTATTATTACTATTATAATTATTATTATTATTATTATTACGCTTGGGGTACTTGTACAAATACATAGAGGAACATAATTTTAATTTTGTGTTTCTCACAGACCAAAGGAGGGACTGTTTCAAGCGCAGACATCCCGGTATCTTAGTGAATTTGAAGAAATATGTAGACTTGGAAAAGGATCATATGGAAATGTGCATAAGGTATTTTTCTCCATACTACTTCTATTTTAACAAACTCCTCTCAAGAGGAGCACGAGTTGAGCTGATCGACATATTCATGACATCTACGACATCATCTTGTAGGTTATGAACAAACTGGACGGACAACATTACGCTGTAAAGAAAATTCTCATCAAAAAAGTCTCCAAGGATGACTGCATGAAGGTATGCCATTAGTGTTTTTTCAGCAGAGCCTTTTTATGCCCAAATACAGAGATAGATAGATATATATACAGAGATAGATATACAGATAATAGACTAATGATTGGATTTTGTTTTTGGCTCCAGGTCCTCAGAGAAGTCAAAGTGCTGTCCAGCCTGCAGCATGTAAATGTTGTCGGTTATCACACTGCATGGATGGAACATGTTCAGCCTGCGACACGTGAGTATTTGACTGCTGTCCTGGGACAAGTTTGTTGGTCTGAGTGGATTGTAAATGAGTAAAGTGCTACAAATATCTGGTCATACCAAACCGCACTATGAACAATTACACTGACTGTTCCTATCATAAGAGCTTATGTGAAACACATCTGTGTTGCAGATCCTGAGTCTCTCCTGCCTGCACTGGAATCACCTGGACAGCAAGACAGGTAGGATCCAATAACTGATCTTACAATAATTGTTGTTGACATTTCTCACAATTTTTTCAAGAATATAATCAACATATTAAGCAATTACAGAACTAATTGTAATTTGCTAGTATTATTCATTAAATATTATTTATTAGGGTTTATTATTGATACTGTTGTAACATTTTTACTTTGTGGTCGACTACTTTGGATGAATTATGGACTTAAAACTTATTTTTCTTGTGATTAACCACTTAACTTAATTACTGATTCTATATAAATAGCATTATGAGTGGGTAAGGTTACATCTTTCTGCTAAGAATGTATTATTTTTAGTTATTTTTAACTGGTAGAAGTTATTCTTGGCAAATCAAATATATATTTCAAACACTGTTTATGCTACATTATTTATCTCAGGGCATGTAGATGTAGCAATAGTCATTATTTAATCTGTCTCAACTCTTTCATTCGCAGTTCTGATAAGAGCCCTGACAGCAGCAGCTCCTCAATAGTTTTTCAAAGCCTCAGTCAAGCACCGACAGATACTGCCTCAAGTGCAAAAGTCAGAGCTTTAGTCCCAACCCAAGAGAAGGGCCAGGTGGTGTGTCCCAAGACAATGCGTCGCATCCCAGAGAACTACGTCCCCTGTGTCTTCCTGGGACAGCGAGAGCTCATAAAGGGCTCCAAATGTCCTGCCACGGGCTGGGACAGTTCGGCACTGTTAGAGGAGGAATCCAGCAGGAGTAGTATTGAACTGAACAACAACTCCTGCATCGACAAGGAATGTCAGGGGTGGACTGACATTCGCACAACAAAGCCTCTCAAAGAGGTAGATGCCTAAAGAGGCTTTGAGTGACCAGTCAAAATATTACAAAGATAAATATTGATTGATTACTGAAAGTAAATGATGTGATTTTTGTGTTAAAATGATGTACAGTGAAATGTAGACCAAAAACAATGTAAAGTTTTTATTTACGGTTTGGTTGTATTTGCAGGTACAGTTCCACCTGATGCTCTACATCCAGATGCAGCTGTGTGAGCGCTCACTGAAGGACTGGATCTCTGACAGGAACACCAAGCCCAAAGAAGAACAGACCTCAAAAGGTAACTGTTTGATACATGCATTACTTTACAGTATTATATGGGTCCATTACAGATTGGTCCATTGCATAATTATTTCATTTCTTTCACATCTCTTCTGAGATATAAAATACAGTTTTAGAAAATAAATATATCATACATTTGTATTTCCAGGTCCATATGGATGTGTTCATACTGAACACACACTCAGCCTGCTGAGAAATATCCTTGAAGGGGTGGAGTACATCCACTCCAGGGGAATCATGCACAGAGACCTGAAGGTAAGCTGCTTCGATAGATTTTATTTGATCAGAGAAGGGTCACATGCAGTTTGCAGTGACGCACAGGTGTTAAATAGGAGCAATATCATATACGTTATTGATAGAGTCTAGTTCATCTGTCTCAAAGGAAATTTTTAAATTCTCCCAGTAGTTGAATACAAAGTCATATAGCCTCTCAGGAAGGATTTTTATCAGCTGTTTTCTCTTGTCTTGGACATGTTTTAGATAAATTTCACGCTTGCAAATATCCTGAAGCCTCCTTGGCTGCTGAATGAGGTTTAGTAGCTGGTCTCTCTGTTTGAAGAAACATGGAAGCATCAAGGTTGAAGGCAGATGGCCTTTCTGGTTGTACACAGTGAGCGGAGAGGTCAGACTGATGAGTTTCACCAGCAGAGATCTGTTGCTTACATTAGGCCTGTGGTTCAGGAACAGGAACAAACAGTTCTCTCCCGCTTTGCTCAGCTTATTTATGTCGGCTCCATACCTGAGCAGTACGTCCACCAGCTCCTTGTTGCCCATGCTGCACCCTTCCTGTAAAGGTGTCAGTCCAGCTTTGTTCACTGCATTGGCCGTCGCCCTCTGCTCGAGCAGCTCAGAAATGCAGCATGTGTTGTCCTCCAGGGTTTTAGTGGTCTTCATAGTCATCGCCACGGCAGCGAGGTGAAGAGGAGTGTTCCCAGACTGCTTCACCTCCTTGAAAATAGTCAAGAATTTAATGTAGGACAGATGTAGAACCTAATGCAAATATTTAAACAGGATTAAGAGCACTGAAAGGCCAGTAAAGTGAGGGCAAAGGGAAATTGCTAGGTGACACTGAAGAATTGCTTTGCACAGCAATATTTGCATATGAATTAAGATTTTTTGCATTTTCTGTGGGTAACAACATTTAAATCCAATTAAGATATGATCAGTTATCATCAGTGAATCAGAAAATAAAGAACAATTGAACTCTGTAAAAGGTACAAAATCTAAAATATTCTAGTTAATGTAGTTGCAATATGTTATTGTGACCTACACCGCGGGGGATTTACTTGATGGCATAAGGGCTCAAATAAGCCGTATTCTTTGTTTGTGGGCTGGACACATTTCATGAATTCAGTATTCTTTTTTTTTACTTTATTTTTTTTCATTACAGACATTTTGACTTAGCGTAGCAGGAAAAGTACAGGTGTTAATATAAATAACGCTGGCTCAGGTATCCCAGTAAACTGTGGAATATAGTCGTTATTTGTGATTAATTACAGCTGTGCAAAGCTAAGTAGATGTCAAAATAAGTGCTGTGGAAGGTCCTCTGTGTTTCTCTTTTGTGATTTATTGTGACAGTTTAAGTCAGAAAAAAACACAGCAAAAAAAAACAACCACAGAGGAATAGCACAAACCATACTGACATCTGCTCCCTCCTTGATCAAACTGGCTATAATGTCCTTACGGAGGATCCCAGCGGCCATATGCAGGGGCGTCATCCCACTGCTGTCCACAGCATTAACATCAGCACCATAGCGGGCCAGAATATGGATGGCAGACAGAGCTGCATAGCGTACCGATAGGTGGAGAGCTGTCTGGTGACTCTCTCCCTCCACCTAGTGAGAAACCGCAAGAAGGAAGAGGAATTACAAAAAATATTTTGGATTTAAACATCACAAATTACTCATTACTCTTTTCTTTTCATAGATAGGAGCTGTAAATAAGTCAAACATTGATTTGCTACATGAAAAACTTTTCACCTCTGCATTGACGTTAACACCGTGCTCACAGAGGAGCCGCAGACAGGCCTCTGCCTGCCTGCACACGCCGCTCACAGCAGTCTTCACCTTGCAACTTGGTTTTGGCCAAGCAGCCAGGCTGCTTGGCCAACCGGTTATCACCAAGTGCAGAGTGGTCTGACCGAGCCGGTTCCTGTGATAGAAGCATAAAAAGTGAAACTGGTGCAAGTAGAGTTAAACCAGCGATGTGCAGGGTGTTTCACTGGCTGTCACTTTATAGTGGAAACAGGAAGTCGTCAAGGTACCAAAAATGAAATAAGCTGGATATGTGATCTTCTTAATTTTAGGAAATAAACTAAATCAACTCAGCTAAAAACAAAAGTCTCAAAAACCCCTTATGCCATGAGAAAAAACAACCTCATGTAACACTGCATTGATGTTTGGTGTTGGTGTGTATGTTTGTATGCCTGTCCGTGTGTATGTGTGTTTGTGCAGACCTCATTTCAGGGTCTGCCCCTGCTGACAGCAGGCTCTGCATGCTCTTTACTCTTCTGAAAGAGGCAGCAAGGTGAAGGGGGAGGATAGCAAGACCCTAAGGCATGACAAGACAAGACAAGACAAACTCGAGCACTGTAAAACACAAATATTTTTCAGTCTAACACCCCAAGAAGTACTTCATTTAAAAGTCTTTTTTATCTTCATAAATTTAATGATATTGTAGCGTAAACGTGACATTTGTGAGTGATCATTGACCTCCTTGTGGTTATCGCTGTCAGTATTTAATATAAAAGATGCTATGGTTCTGTCTATGTGGCAATTTTTATGCAGTCGGAATCAGAAATACTTTATGAATTATAATTAAACTTATATTTAACATCTTCCAGTTCTCAGAAGTAATTTTTAAAATACAGCCAACATTGATGCATTTACCTTCCACGAAACTTTTCCAGGTGCACCGTTTTGTATCTTGATGAGGAAATTGCTGCCATACTTTTTTGACATGTCTTCTATGCGTTCCGAGTCTTCATCCATAATTGCAGAGTAGAATTCATTGTTGTGAAACTTGTTAATGTTATCACTCATATCCTGACGTTCCTTGCTCTCCTCCAACATGACCAGTCATCGCAGCTTCACTGTCTGTGTTTAGTCCTTCACAAGATGTGTGGTGGTTGAAAGCTGTTATTCTGGTTTCCGGTTGCAAGCCTAAATTTGTGAGAGGCATGTCAGTTAATTTGTCACTCTAAGGAGGGAAAATCAAAAAATGTTTATCTGCTAGTTCTGTTTTCTGTGTTTGGTAGTTTCCGCGGCTACTTCTTGTTTTCTGTGTTAGGTGTTTTCAGTCAGTCCGATTTCATCATGTAGGTTTGAGAGGTACGTGTCGAAGTTTGATGTAAGGTCTTCCTGTCGCTACTGATAACTTCTTGCTGCATGCGGGGGCCACTTATGGGGACTGGTGACACCCGTTTGAGGACTTTACAGGTTGTTCTGCTGCTTATTCCCTGAGGAAAGCAGGGAATTATAACTTTGTCAGAGCTTATATGCTTACCAGTCCATCTCTTGAAATTCAGGAAATAAAAACAGTATTTCCAAATATTTTATGTGATGTGATGTGATGTGATTTGTCTGAATGATTTCACCTTTTTATGTCTTCATCCAGTATGTACATGACAGTCATGCAGAATCCATCTTCAGAGCCTTCTTTATGGGGAAAATATGTTCTAAAATAGAATAAATAACAACACCTTTATCTCACATGCACAAACCATAGACATCTGCATCTTCACATCCAGAGACATATGGAACTAATTGTAATATCTTTCATTTGATTTAATTGTAATATTTCTTCCACAGCCAAGGAACATTTTCCTCCACGGTCAGGACTGCCATGTTCGGATTGGGGACTTTGGTTTGGCATGCAGAGATATATTAATGGATGGGCATAAAAGCAGCACCTCTGGCAGCAGTGGTAATACTATACCTTAAGACACAGTACTACACAGCATCACCAGTAGATGGTGCTGTTTGCTTTAAAGTCACATTTCTGGTGTATTTTTTCAGATTCCTCACATACTACAGGTGTTGGTACTTTTGTATATGCTGCACCAGAACAACTAATGGGCTCGCATTATGATTCAAAGGTAAACACATAGTAAATTAAATTCATTTTGATTAATTCCGACATTTTTTCAATGTAACACGACATATTATTGTGCTATATACTTTATCAACTTTCACAACTGTCATCTCCTTTATGACTTTCAGTCTAAACTTTATTTGTATTGTTGTTGCTCTCACAGTCAGACATGTACAGCATTGGAGTGCTGGCTTTCGAGCTATTTCAGCCCTTTGGGACAGAGATGGAGCGGATCCGGACCCTTGAAGACCTAAGAGAGGGGAAAATTCCTGACTCGTTCAGCCAGAGATGGCCGGTCCTGACGAAGTACATCACGCAGCTGACGAGTACAGAACCAGGTGTTCGACCCACGGCCAGCCAGCTTCTGCAGAGTGAACTCTTCTGCAGTAAAGACATAGTATGTGGGAATATATGGATATGTTTTGGCTCTAAAAATAGTTAGCCCCCAATGTCTTTTTTGTGCTGTTAAAAAATCTAAATCTTAAATCTTAATCTAAATACTATGTCTATGTAACTGTTTGTAAACAAATGTGAATTCATTTTAGGATTATGTATAATGTACAGCTTTTGTTTTACTATATGTGTGGCTAGCTTTCTTGCATTAAAGTTCCTCATAATAATAATCATAATTGTCTTTACTTTTTTGTTCCCTCTCAGGTGATCCATAGTTTGCAGAGAAGGGTTGAAGAGCAGGAGGAAGAGCTCATACAGTTGAGGAGACAGATCAGTCTGCTTCAGAGCTCACAAGTGACAGTTCATTTCCCTGAGTCGGACGAGACCTGAGCCTTAAAAATCTCAAAATACTTCAGACTGTCAAAACTTGATGAATTCAACTACTGCTGTACTATGCTTTGGTGACTTGGTACAAGTGGGAGAGAGAGAGAGAGAGAGAGAGAGAGAGAGTGTGTGTGTGTGTGTGTGTGTGTGTGTGTGTGTGTGTGTGTGTGTGTGTGTGTGTGTGTGTGTGTGTGTGTGTGTGTGTGTGTGTGTGTGTATAAGCATTTCAGTGTGTCCTGTACACCTGGATGTAAGGGTGCAATTATTTATCTTCATTCAGTTGTTCAATAAATCCTATTATTACTACTACCTCCTATTTCTTCTATGTCTTGTGTGTTTCTAAAAAGCAATATGTGATTATTCATCATTTGAGATGTTGCTTTCAAAGTATTACACTTATAACAAATTGAAAAAGTGACCTATAAGAAGACTTGAGTATTTATTATGAGTTTTGTACAGCTTCTTGATCCAGAAGAAGAAGCTGCCCATTGTCAGAAAATTGAAAAGCAATTTTGGACACAATAATCCTTCCAATTTTGTTTTTATGGGGACAGTGGTACATTTATTTCTGTGTATGGACGGTGATTTAAAGGTTGAGTTACTGGTCACTCTCATATATTATGAGAACCTTTAAGTGTGGAAATACAGTGGGTATCTATTTAGAAATGGGCCATTCAACGCAGATATAGTAATCTTTGCTTGTAAGTCAATGTGAAGGCCTGTTTACAGTATAAGTCTGTGGGTATTAAGCACACAGTGTTGGTTGTACATCTTGTACACAAAGGTCAGAGGTGTGTACATGCGACGGATCTTCCCGAAACACGTTCCTCACAGAGAAACGACCGAATGAGCCAATCAGAGACCTCGTTTCATCGCAGGTACCCGGATGTACCCGTGGGGCAATTAGCTACGTCATTGTTCACCGCCGGACACCCGCTGGAATAAGGAATGGATTTACAACCGCTATTAACGTATTCATAACAGATTCCAGGTGAGTGTGTTGTTGCTTTTACGATCAAGTGGCACTTTAACTGTGCAGCCACGATATTTCGGTAGACCTGAGCCTCTTGGATTTGTTGTAGTAGCCTTACACCGGTTCTCTGTCATGTCGGAGAGACCAGCGCAGTGAGCACACACAGCCGCCGGTGTCGAGCCCCTCCTGTCTAAGCTAGCTAGACGTCCCCTAACTCGGGCCCACGCTTGTAAATCAAATCTCTTTCGAAGTGGAAACAAAAAAGCGCCCCTTTGACATTCATAGAAAATGGTTTCGTTACTCTCCGCCATGTCAGTCAGCTTCCATCGTGCCGAGCGAGCTAGCAGCGTTAGCATCGACATTGCCGCACGAGCGCCGCCGCGTAATGTTAGCTCCGTTCGGTAGCTATGTGTTACGTTCGCCGTTTCCATGGTGTCGGTGCCTTCGCGAATCGCTCGCTCATCGTTAGCCACTCGGTTCCCGTCTTCGGCGAGAAATGTAAGCTTTTAATTAGTGCTCCGTGTCCCACAGGGGGCTGATGAGGGTTTACTTCGTGTTTTGTGGAGGTTTAGCGGCGCTGCGTGTTAAAGGCCTAGCAGCCGTCTGTTAGCCAACGTGAGCGGGTGGGAGGGAACAGCTGTTGTTGTAAACGTGCTTCCGACCAGGAAATTTCCTCTGTCGGATTTTTGAACTAGTAACCTTCACTTTAGCAACTTTAGCACGGCGAAACCGTTTTCATGTTCGTGCTCGTAAGTTCAACATATTTACAATAGAAGTTGTTACCTCGACATTGTTTTTGGATGTTTGCTTTTTTTTTAAATAAGCCTTGTAAAGTAGCCAGAAATGGCCACTTGTAGTAGCGCGAAGTTGGTTTAGTTTATAGAAACACGCGGTGGATGAATGACTAATGTTTTTACTCAGTTGCAGTCCCTGCTACTACTTTTTGTTCATAGCTTTTGTTTATTGATGCGTTTGGTAAGTGTGATCAGTCAGCCAAGACTTTTCTCCCACATCAAGACATTGTGGTCTCTTCGGTCTTAGGATACAGTGATACTTATAATAATATAATAATAACATACAATCAGAGTTCTTTGAGATTTATCGATTTCAAGACAATGAATAAACTTTTCTTCTGTTTTTGATTTTTACATTTAGGGAAAAGGTGTTTTTCTGTTTTCTGTCTTAATCTGTATTTTATGCAGCTCATAAAGTTGTATTCTTCTGTGTTTCTGCCCCTCATACAGCAATGAACAATGACCATAGTTGACAGATCTTCAGAAAAGTCTGACCACGAGTCAGTCGGGTGTAAGCGATCTCCCTTCACCAGTGGAGACGTGGGGATGGACGGCAGCTGTTCCAGCAGCTGGGCAGTTGGTCCCACCATGCCCAGTGACTCTCCGAGGCTGAAGGCTCCCGGAGGCTGCCTGGGCCCAACGCCTGGAGCTGTAGTCTACAACAGTACACCATCCTCTGTGGACAGGCCCAAGGAGCAAGGTAGGAGCAGGGGTTTTTAACAGCTGTGTTTTTATGATGCATGTGGCTTGAAAGCTGGGAGGAAACTGTTGGCAAGTTACCCATATTCCACTGCGTGCAGACCCGGGTTCAGCCGAGCTATACTCTCTGCTTCCATTCATCCATTGCACTGTAGGCACGTGGAAGAAGTCCTTGACATATGTATATATGCACGGTTAGGCATGCACTTGAGGCTAATAATGGTAATCAATGTTTTCCCACCCATATTGGAAATGCCGATGCACACTTTGCTAGGTCTTATCATAACAAATGCAGGTTCAAATCAAAATGCTTTTCAAACACTACTATGTTTTTACAAAAAGGACCATTTTGCTAATTTCCACTTTCTGTTACTGAATTGGCTGTGCTCGATATGTGTCTTAACCTTGCAAGCAAATTGTGAACTGTTATATGGAAATTTAATACATAAGTAGTACAGAGCTGCACCAATGAAGCTAAACTTTTTGCTACTGTTTCTGTGTGACACAACTGGTTTGGTAGGCGTTGTATTGCTGCGTTCACTCTACTTTCATTCATCCAGTTACATAACCAGGCCAGTTTTGAATTGAGAGCATGATCAATCACTTGAGCTTGTGACGCAATTGTTGTTTTGTCGTAAAGAGAAGCAGCCTAGCTTTAGCAGAAACAAAAGAGAAAGCAAACTCCGTCTCCTTCAGCTTGTTTTATAGTCTTATTTTGTAGTCAGAATCACATTATATAACTCTTTTGACTAATGGCTATGACTGTAATGTCCTGGTGTTCCTTTACATGCTTTATGTACTGTACTTACATAGACAATGTAATATATGTATGTTATAATGGACACTTGTTGATGTCCTTGACCTTGTAAATGCATTGAATATAACTTTAGTAATGTTGGCTCTCTGTGCCCAGTGATAAGCAGTGATGACGGCATCGACTTGCCCCAGAAGGTCCTCTTCCCTCCAGAGCGGCTTAACCTAAAGTGGACCCAGGTTCACCGCATTGGTGCAGGCCTGCAGAACATGGGGAACACCTGCTTCCTCAACTCAGCCCTGCAGTGTCTCACCTACACCCCTCCGTTTGCCAACTTCATGCTGACACGGGAACACTCCAAAACATGTAAGTTTACGTTTCATGGTGTGTTTTTGCACCAAGGAAGGTCTTGTGTAATAGTACAGTCATGCAATAATTATCACATCAGTCTTGGTCATTTCGGCAGTATCTATGAGCTGCTTTCTTGCCTGATTCATGTCTTACTCATCAGTGTTTTTTTTGTTTGTCCATCTGTCCCCGCTGCAGGTCACGAGCCGGGGTTCTGTATGATGTGTACCATGCAAAACCACATCATTCAGGTTTTTGCCAACTCTGGGAATGTCATTAAGCCCATTGGTGTGCTCAATGAGCTCAAAAGTAAGTGTCCGTATCAATAAAACAGTGACCTGAAATGAATGACAGGAGGCGCTGTGTGGCTGTTTACCTTTTTGATTTTGGAGGGAAATTTTTGGTGGGAGTTTGTAGTCTGCTGTTAAAATAATTTTTGATTTTAAACCTTTGTATAAGTGTGATATAATCTATCAACTACTGATATCTTACAATGTGTATGTAATTTTTTTCTCCACACAGGGATTGCAAAGCACTTCCGCTATGGAAGCCAAGAGGATGCCCATGAGTTCCTGCGGTACACAGTGGATGCTATGCAAAAGTCCTGCTTACCTGGAACCAAGTAAGTTTCATCCAACTTCCAAAACCATACATATTCTTGCCTAGAAAGGTGGCACACATTTTTGGCTTTATTAGAATATACAATTAGTTTATTTTATATTAATATATGTAATCAACTGGTAGAAAGATATTATTATATTCGATGTATTCTGCATTGTGATGATCCACTGAACATCCTGCAAAGGACTTCCAGTCTAAATCTTGCATAAAAGCCATAGGCAGATAGATTGAAGAATACATGTTATTCAGCTGAAATATATGAAATCACTGTAGAGCCATTGTCAAGTAGGTTATGAACACATACAAAGCCTACATGCATGTTTAATAGATATGCTGTGCAGACCATTGTGGTTCTCAGGGGACTTTAAAAAAAGGGTTTTTAGGAACGTCAGGTATCAAGCTGATCTCTTATTCTGTAGTAACAGGTGGCCTCTCAACTAATTACTCTTGCTCTAATTCCCCCCCTTCTCACTCCTGCTCTTTGCGTTGTAATATGCTGTGACTTGTCAGTGCAAAATACTGTAAAGTGATTCTCCCTACCAGTATAGCCTATTTGTCTGTTTGTTTTTTGGATTAAAAGGGCAACCAGTCAATTATGTCATTATCCATATTGGTTGTTTTTCATCCTTATATTTATCTTTGACAGATTGGACAGGCAAACACAGGCAACCACTTTCATCCATCAAGTATTCGGCGGGTATCTAAGGTCCAGAGGTAAGTTATTAGAGTTGATTTGTTGCCTTGATTTATTTATTTTACCTGAAATCAAGTTGTTCTTTTACAGCTTTGCTAGGCTAATAAATAAACTCTTTTCTTTTTCAGTCAAATGTTTAAACTGCAAAGCAGTGTCTGATACATTTGACCCTTTTCTGGATATTACTCTTGAAATTAAGGTAAGTTATCCATGTTTATTGTGGGTCTCATGTCTCTGTTTTACTGCAAATGTGTATCAAACCAATGAATTCAGATTTCCGCACGGATCTAAAACAGTACCAAACATTTTTTCTCTCCATGCAGACGGCTCCCAGTGTCTCCAAGGCTCTGGAGCAGTTTGTGAAGCCAGAACAGCTGGATGGAGAAAACGCCTACAAATGCACCAAGTAAGCATTGTATTATATGCAAAAGCAATTCAGATAAGACACCAAGAAAGAGTCAGTGTTTTTGTGTGTTAGTTTATTTATTTGTATGCTAACCAACTGAACATTTGTTTCCCTTAGGTGCAAAAAAATGGTCACTGCCTCAAAGAGATTTACCATCCACCGCAGCGCCAACGTGCTCACCCTCTCACTCAAACGTTTTGCAAACTTCAGTGGAGGAAAAATCACAAAGGTACCATGACGTGTGTCCTACAATATCCAGAACAATGATATACTGTAGCTATAGGACAGCAACTGCAATTTATTACTATTACTGATAAGTACTGTACTGTTGACTGTAATTTGATAGTAATCAACTGCTTTTTGGTCTTCAGGATGTGAAATATCCAGAATACCTGGACATTCGGCCCTTCATGTCTCAGTCCCAAGGGGAGCCCCAGGTCTACGGACTATATGCTGTGCTGGTCCACTCTGGATTCAGCTGTCATGCTGGACACTACTTCTGCTATATTAAGGTACTGGCACTGCTACGGACCACTGTTGCCAAGTACACATGCAAACATTTGTTTCCAACACTTTATAAACAACTCACTACAGCAGTTTAATGTTGAGTTCCTACAGCAACTCTTGCTCTTAACAGAGGTCCTAAAATCTGTTTGAGAACTGTGTTTGTTTGAGTACATATAAGTATACATTTCAAAGCCAATTCTGATACTGAGAAAAAGTAGCATTTTGAAAGACAGGACGTGTACCAATTATGACTCTGTTTCGCAAATATGTTAAAACCTGCAAACTGTTGTAATGTGTCTCCCAGGCAAGCAATGGGCAGTGGTACCAGATGAACGACTCCTCTGTGTCTGTCAGTGACATCAGGTCTGTTCTCAACCAGCAGGCCTATGTCCTTTTCTACATCAAGTGAGTAAACATTTAAAAATATTTGTTGGGTTTATAAGTGATGTGGTGTAGAACATAACGGACGTGTAATCAAAGCAATTATTTATTTTTATATGTTTACAATATTTACGTTTCATATTAGATAGATAGATAGATATACTTTATTGATCCCAAGCTGGGAAATTGCAGTGTAGCATCAGCATTACACGCAGTAACACAGTTGAAGTAAGAGAATATTAGAATATTAGGCCTAAATCGTTCTTTAACTTCTTAACCTTTTGTGGTAATGTTTCAAATCTGGTTATGTCTGTTTCTTTTGTGTCATTAGGTCCAGTGATCTGAAGAAAACAGGGGACTACAGCCACATGAGCCATAATCCAGGTATCCCTGGTCAGTCGTCTCCGCGACCGGTGGTGATACCACGCATCAACCCCACTGTCCACCACAACAACAACAGCTTCATTGGTCCCCAGCTGGCACCACACATGACCAAGGTACTGCAGGCTTGCTTAATCTAAATGCATATTTGAATGTTACCCGTTTAACACATACAGCCACAGTTTGACCTAGACACTCAAAACATGTTTTTGTGTCCTTTTTTCTTCCCCCACAGAGCACTCTCCATGTGAATGGGAATGGGTCTCTGAGGGACTATCCCACCAACTCCAAGCCCAGCACCAGCAGCAGTGTTGTGGGAAAATCTAGCCATGGACTGGCATCCTCCTCCTCTTCTTCAATCTCCCACTCAATCAGCAGACCCACAATGATCCCAGACCATGACAAACGCCAGAAGCTTTCATTTTTCATTGGACAAGGCAAACAGAACCGCCCATCCTCCTCCACGTCCTCTTACAGCCAGCCGTCCTCCGCCAGCAGCAGCAGCGCCTCTTCCAGCTCTTTATCCTCCTCACAGTCTACCTCAGACGTCCACTCAGACATTCGCTTTGTTCCACGTCAGCTCAACCACGTTAACGGCACGCCTTGCAGCAACGGCAATCGCCACACTGGAGGGAATGGAGCATCATTCCTGGTGCCATACAGCCAGGAGTCATCAGAGGAATCAGACCAGGAGAACTGTGGCACTCTGGATAACGGCTGTTTAACAAAGTCTCACCTCAATGGAAACAACAGAACAGGAGAGGTCTTTGATAAATGTCCTCAGGCCACCAATGGGGAATCAGGAGTGCACCATAATGGCAATGGATTAAATGGACCAACGAATGGTGTCTCTAAATCTAGTCAAAATGGACACCATTATGGACATCACAAAGTGAATGGACACAACACCCCTAACAAAGTAAATAATATGCTTTGTGTTTTTGCTACCTTCTCATAATATATTGTTTACTGAATGAGCAATAGTTGTGTGCTTAAATCAATAATCATGTCTTGTTTTTGCTCAGATCAATGGCAGTAATCATGGCAGTTCATCCTCCGTGGCTACTGTTGCTGCTAATGGACTAGACCGCGACCATAGTCAAACAAGGTAAGATGAGCACTCTTAACACTAAGCTGGAAGAAAGGTATTGTTAACCACATCTTAAGCAGTTTAAATCTTTGAGTAGTGAGTTTAAAGGAATGTTTCAAAATCTACTTGGTTGCATTTTTACACTATACACCCCAAAAGTGGGATATAAAGCAATATTTATATGCTTTTATATTTTGTATTTCCAGCAAAGAGGCACATAATTCTGCCTCATCCCAGGCCAGTTCTTCTCAGAGCATCCATCCTGCTGCCAGTGAAAGCCAGCACCTCTCCACTCCTGACACAAGGGCTAAAACTGTGTCTGAACCCCTGCCTCAGCATACAGCATCCTCCGCTGTTAGCTCTCCACCCTCCGCTACTGCTACAAAGACCCATTCTGTCACGTGTAGAGAGTCTGCTTCCTCCTCTGCCCATCATGGCAACATCAATGCGGCCTTATCTACCCCGCCAGACTGCTCCCAAAGCACCAATGGGGCCTCTGCAGCTCCACAAAAGGATAGCAGAGGTGGGGATGAAGCAATGGATCTACCACAGACCAGTGGTCCGTCTGCAGGGACTGAAAGGCGTACAGATACTAAGGAGCAACACCTGTCCAAGCCCAGTTCTAGAGGCAGTGAAAAACAATCTTCCCGGGACAGGGAGAGAGACAGACTGTGCTCTGACTGGAGCAGAGACAGGGAGAGACACTATAGGGACAGGAGTCAGGAGCGAGAAAGTGACGGTGATCGCCATCGGTACAGACGGGACTACAGAGATCACCGCCACCATCGCTCATACAGGGATCGCTTGTCTCCTCACAATCGTTCCTACAGGGACTGGGAGCCTGAGCGTCGCTGGGAGCGGACTCTCCCTCACCCAAGGGAGCGTGATCGTGACAGGTGCTCTAACCATTACCACCACTATCACCACCACCGGTTCAGAGAGGACTGGGACCGTGGACAGAGGGGACATGGTTACTCCTCCCGCGAGGAGTCTCATAGTCGCTGGAGGGGGCATGAGGACAGTCGAGATTCTCGGTCGATGAAGGACAAGAGCAACGGCAGGGAGAAGGACTATTACCCATCAAAGGAGGAGACCTCCTCGCATGCCACGGTGCAGGAAACCTCCGCAAAGCCCAAGGGATCAGCCCCTCAGGCTCGTCTCTCCACGTTTGAATTGGCTCCAAACAAGGAGGATGAAAATCACAAGAGGACCGCTGAACTACCGAGCAAGGAGAGGGACGATAGCTCTGAGGCCCGTCGCTCTAAAAAACACAAAAAGAGCAAGAAAAAGAAGAAGTCAAAGGATAAAGACAGACACCATGAGAGCGGGTGAGTAACGCCATCTTTCTCTTTGTCTCCATGCTGCTTGACAGTTCTTTGTTTAAGTTTTGTTGGATAATAATATTCGCCAATTTGCACAATTATGTGTTAGAAGATCACCATTAATTGTACTATCCACCACTATCAGTGTGAATGAATTAGATCCCTTTATTCTCATTATTTCAGAGTTAAAACAATAAGTCCATTAATCAATTTAATCAACAGAAAAATCATCTGCAGGTATTTTAATGATGAATTATTTTAGCAGTTGTAGCAATATTAGAGAAAAATGCTAACCATTCTCTGGTTTAGCTACTGTTCTTTGCAATCTAATGGCAATACTCGTAAGTTGTCGCCCTACACTATTTGTCTTTAGCTGATGACAAAGCCTGATACCTTCTGACAGTTTTGGATTTAGTTGTGGATTTAGAAAAATCATGGTGTTTGTGTGTTTCCTGTTGTCCCGTAGAAGCTCTGATGTGGATTCAGACCGAGCCACTGAAACAAAAAAGAAGAAGAAAAAGAGGAGGCAGCGGGACAGTGACGCCGAGCAGCACAGCCCGGGGGCAGCTCGGAGCCACAAGAACAGAAGCAGCGAGGAGAGGGAGAGCCGCAAGAGACGATACTATGAAATCAAGGACACTAAACACAACAGTGGTTTGTCGCCAGAAAAACGGCGGCGAACAGACTGCGCTGATGGCAGAAATGACCATTTACTGTCCTCCAACCACACCTCACCCACAAACGGTTCAGTGCACCGCCATCTCAATGGATACACAGGTATTACAGGTTTCTCACAGAGTCATCCTCAAACATCACTGAAGTGCTGAAATAATTGCTGCTGTGGAACATGTCAAATTTATGTGTTCTTCCTGTTTTGTAGGAAACGGTTACAGCCAAACCAATGGCGACTCCCACGGACTCTCCAGTGGCTCGAAACACTGACTCTGTGAGTGGGTGCCTTCTTTTAATGATTATCACAGTTTGCTCTAATACAGCTGCTAAACAAACTGTAGGAAGTCTTATTATGGATGCAAATGTTTTAGCTCTACAAATAGATTATAGGGAGGCTTCTTATTTCTCGTTTCAGACACATCAACATTTTAACAACAGCAGAGGAATGACATCAACAACGGTTTGACGTGGTGCTTCTTCATTGGGAATATATTGTATTTTTACCACAGCTAAAGTGTTTTAAATGTTTGAAAATCTTCTTTTTTTTTAAAAAAGGCATTGATTTATTTGCCGTAATTCTCCTATGGTTAAAAAAAACATTCACCTGTCCAACATTTATGATGATAAATATTAATATATACTTGTATGAACACAAACAAAGCCTGGAGCTTAAACATCTCAACTGCTGCTCAGTGGAACTCAGGACTTGAAAACTTGTTAACATCCATCATGGATATCCACCTGCTTCAAATCAGAAAGAAACAAAAGGGAAATGTGTTGCCTAATGACGATGGCACCATGTTGGCTGCAAGCTTAAGATGTCACCATATCTACAGAGCCGCAATGTTGGAGATTTTTTCTTGGATCCCACTGGGAGCGGACAAACTAACTGAGGGAGATATTCATGAATGAGACGGACGAGCGCAGTGGTGGGAACAAGGCTTCGCTGACTGATACCTCCACGTTAACCCTGGACAGACTTGAGGACATTTCCCAGCTTTTTTTTGTTTTTGTTTGTTTCCATTTTTGCTCTGAAGCCTAAGATTCACTCTGTAATTTTTAAACTTTTTCACAGAAGCAGAGGTTTTTCTCTGGATTATGCCTCTCCCTCCTTTTGTCACATTCTTTTTCTTTTTAAACGTTTAAAAAGAAAGCATCAAAAATTTGTTATCATGGCTGTGGACCATTTGTGTTTGCTTTTTAATGAAAAAATACAGTTTGTGTCTTCTAGCGTCATAAGAAATACTGTGAATTTAATTTTTGAACTGTACTATCAGTTATTTTTATACATAAAAATCCTGTATCAGGGTTACCAGTAGATGTTTTGTTGTTTTGCTTTGTTTTTAGAAAAAGTCAAGTTAATTTTGACCATATTCTCTGGACAAAAGTCAGTAATGGGTATGGTTTGCTTTTTTTTTTTTTCTTTTTTTTCCCCCAACTTTAGACAGAGGTTGAAAAACTGCTGTTATATCTTTTTAGTTTAGCATGTCAGAATTTATACATTGTATAAGGTAAACGCCTTAAAATACATTTGTTACTGTCAGAAATTGTAATCTGTTCCTGGTCTTTGACTTTGTTTACAAGCTGCGTTGAAATGAATGAAAAATGCTGATTGAAATGACTGACGAGTTGCCAGGGATTTTTGAAAAGCTCTTGTCTGCCTTTGTATTATATACTAGGAATAGACCGATTGTATTCGAGCCTCTTGTTGAACAAACTTTCCACAGCAGTCAAATTATGATGTAGATACATATAAGTGAGGATGAAAACTGATAGCTCTTCTGTATTCAGGTTTTGTTCAATACAAACACTTTTCTAGCAATTTCAGTCAGCGGGATGGCTCAGCTGACTCTACATTTTACTCACAACACTGTTTCCATGTTTGAAATAACCAAAGACCTGGTAAGCTTAGCAAGTTGAGCCCATCTCACTGAATTCACATGCACACAAAAACTTGTTTTTCTGATCAGCATGTATTTTTATTCAAAGTCTTCATCAAAGTATGCAGGGGCATTTTTCCCAAACTCACATCAAGCCATGTTTAAACTCAAACATCCAGTAATGAAAGATTAGGCTGCAGGTTGGCTTGATCTGTTTGGGAAAAACAGTCCTCAGATTCCAGTCAGCATTCACACGGTATTCAAGGGTATTTTCAACCCACTTGTGTCCTATACTCTCTTGTCAAACTCAGCATAGTGAGTTTTTCTTTCATATAACTTGTATTATCTGATCTTCAGTAATAACACAGTGTGAGGAGGTTTCACTGCTCTGCAAAGAGCTGCACAGAGTCCCTCTTCCACTATTGTAAACTGTTAGCTCTTGAACTAAAAAGGTGAACGGGTATAGGCTACGGCCGTTATGATTTACATGCTACATAAACACAAAACAAAAAAAAAAAAAACAGTATGTACATTATATACTATACATGCATAATGTAAATTGGGGGCTGCCTCTTTTGTTAAACAAATTAAGAAAATAAATACAAAAGAAATGAACTTGATCACAGAGGTGGATCTTCAATACATGAAATGACAGTTTATAATTGTGGCCATGTAAAAGGGTCATTACACTCAGGATATGTTCAGTATTATTCCTCAACCTGCATCAGTTTCTTCGCCTTCAAAGAGGGAATACGGGAGCGTACTGTAAATGAAAAAGTATATGAGCCTAAGTTTCTTCCTATTAGAATAAATCTGTGTGTTTGCATATACAGATACAGTCACTTGAGGGCTAACAATCAGACCAGCTGATTTAAAAGCTTGAGAGGCTTCCTGTAGTTTCAGGATACTACAAAACATTGTTGGTGTTGGCAGTTGTCGAAGGTCATGTGAGGTGAATATAGATGAATGTTGACTGCCATCTGGGAGTCCTGCTGGCAGAAAATCAACCAGGCGAGCTGGTCTGGGTACCATATTACAAGGATGGATGTTCAGGTTTCAAATCCTCAAACTGCGTTAGTGCAGTACAGTAGATTTAATTCCCTGTGTGTCCAGCAGAGGGCAATCTCATCACAGCCACGCTAGGCAAAAGATTCCTCATGGCTGTTGCTCTAGAAAACGGTTGTCCTCATCCTTCTCTTCATTTGTTTTCATCCAGCTTCTCCATAAAGTCTCACCCAAATGGCACATCAGTGTTCAAAGTCAGCGCCGGAATTAAATAAAACCACCACATTCACATCAACCAAGAATTGAGGCGCAGACATTCTTCAGGTGGAAATTAACTTGATCCACCTGTGTCTGCTGCTCGTCCTCCAGCCCTGAAAGAACAAAAGGGAGGCCTTCATGTCCCCTGTAAGGACTCTGCTGGTCACAGACATGTTGGTGATGCAGGTGTGGCTGATGGTGGGCGGTTATCATTTCTTATTGGCTATCCTCCGCTTCCTGGTGGCCAGCATGTCGTAGAAAGGATCCCTGCTGATGCTTGCTCTGTGGAGAGAGAGGGCAGGAAGGAACAGATCACTTATCGACTGTTTCCAACAGTTCACTACAGTGCTACGTGAATTTTCTGAAAGATAAAAGGCTCATAAATGTTACAGAGGGAAGAAAAACACCAAAACACGTGATCATTATGCAATGTTTAGAGCACTTTAGGACTATTTTGGGATGAGGTCCAGTAATTTCTCAGTGTACTAACTCGACCTTAATCTGTCTTGTCTCTATCAGTCAGTGCATCTAACCCAAACTATCTCACATCTTGTGTCTGCACTGCATTCTGGGGGATCTCGAAAGATTTGCTTTGATTTTGAGTGATCAACACTGAAACTTGACATTTAGTTACACCTCAGAAACCTGCTCTTTGATCAAACTCTACTTGTTGTGCTATAAATATCTCAACATCTCATTATTTATGTTATCCACAGAAAACAACAACAACTCACCAAACCACAAAATGCACTCAGTAATGCAACAAAAATGTTGTCAACTAGTTGCGTATTTCCACACCCAGCAGGCAGGAAGCAACATCATCATTCATTTGTAGTTGTGTTGTGGCCATTTGATGAATTTAACTCGATTATTCATTCTCTTTTAGTCCTGAGGGACTGGCTAAAAATAACTTTTTTCATATTTGCTGAAACATTCACTATATCCTGACAGTAGTACAAGAGACAGATAATAATTCCCAGCGGCCTACAGTGCTTGTATTTGACAACAAGGGAATGAAACGTAATGATCAACTATCTTTCTTGGCTCTAATTGGTTATTTTAGTTCAGGCGTGCAAATGCCATTATAAGCACTAGAATGAGCCAGAGGAACTCTGTCTCATGTACTACTGTCAGGATTAAGTTTTTCAGCAAATACCACAAAAGTTTTTTTAGAAAATGAACCTACTGCTGCTTTAAAGCTGCTTTAAGTTGTTGTGGTGTGTGTTAATGCAGCTCCACATCCTTCCCTGCTCCTTATTGGAAAATCAAAGCTTCATAACCTCACTGACATACTGAGGATGGGAATAATGCTGAGTAACCACCACTTTCCCAGCAGCAGAACAATCGTCATGCTGAGACCAACGGTCTCGTACGTGTGTATGTGTACAGAACAGCTACCACAAGAGCAATTTCCAGCCTTGCAGATGAGTCAGGTGGGACAGTGTGGACATACTGTGTGTGTGTGTGTGTGTGTGTGTGAATCTGCTGACCACAGGACAGTCTGCCGCCCCAGCAGCTGAGTCAAGTGAGAGAGTGTTGGAGGCAGCACAGCTCTGCCCTGCTGAGTTCAATCTGTGATCTTTACTAATCCAACAGTGACCGGAAGAGACTTTACATTACGATGTGCAACTGGACTTAAACACACTCCTGCTTTTGCCCTGAAAGCACTTTTAAGGCCTGCAAGAGGAGTGTGAAATCCAGACAATGTGTCATCTGAAGGTCAATCTCCCAAACCAAGACATCGCCTCAACTGTACATGAAGCAGCCTCAGCGAACAAGATTTCCAGTAACTTAGCTCAAAAACCCATCACTTTCATTAATGGATACACACATGTCAATGCTAAGTGGGTTTTTAGTATCATTAGAGCATGGAAGGGTCGTGTAATATGATTTCTGCTGTGATATTGATCATATTTGCCGGTGAAGCTGCAGCTGAGTGGATGATAACCAGGGAGCTGATCCATTACCCACTGGGTCCAATTCACTGCTGCACCTCCACTCTCCTTCCCGGTTAACAAGGCAGCATTTGGATATGACAGATCAGGTGTAAAGGCCAGCATAACACTTCTAGGAGCGCAGCAGGGCCATAGTGCCTGAGTAGGTGTGTGTGTGTAAGTGTGTGTGTGCATATGTGTGTGTTTTTCTTTGCTTGCTGAGCCCTAATCAAAGGGAAGTGAGCTTATCCAGCAGAGGAGAAATCACCTCTGAGTGTTATCTGTGTGGAAGTGTGAGAAACGCAGTCACATTTAGTCACCAGCATGTGTGTGTGTGTATTTGTGCTGGTCTGCACATTTCTGATTAAGTTCACAGCTCTGTGTGTGTGTGTGTGTGTGTGTGTGTGTGTGTGTCTCACAGTCAAGGTCAGACATGAGAAAGTGCCACATGGGAGCAGCCCGGTGTTGGCTAAGTGCCCTCTCAGTGTAAATGGATCCACACTAACACGACATCTCTTACTTGATGGATTTGATCCACTCCTCCTTTTCCTCCGGCGTGGGGGCCGATATCCTGTACACTACGTGGTTGCCCTCGACAACCCGCCCGTCTGCCTCTGTCTTGCAGGCCTTGATCACCTGACCTTTGTGGTTGGGGTTGTAGAGCTCGAAGCAGTTCTGGGGAGAAATCAGGAGGCAGCAGTAAGCGATAAGTTGTATTTTTTTTGTTTTGAAAAAGTTTACGTTCTCCGTCTGAATTAAAAAGGATGAATATGGATTTAAATGGACGAGACAGTGAACGGAGTCGCTCCTTACAGGTTTCCTGGGCTCATCCACCTCTCTGATACTGAGGTTCTCCAGAGGAATAATCCCACGAGGCTCTTTATCCTGAAAACACACACAACAATCACTCAAAGTAAATCAGTGTGTAATGAGGGCTCAATGACAAATAATGAAGAAAGGATCCAGCCCAGATAAAATCACTCCGTCTCCAGTCTTTGAAGAATCTGATTGAATTTGACTTTGTTCTTAAGTGAACAGACCACCGCTCTTATTAATGCTAGTGCACATCTCCCATAAACCCTTTCACCTACAAGACATTTGCTTCATCATTGAAACATCTTCCTCTACATGGAAACGAATGAACATATTGGAAATGTTTTCTCCATCAGTCTTAGACATGACATTTTCTACAGATATCAGAGGTCCCCTAAAGGAAAACGTTTCATCTAGTGGCATCATCAGGTGAAAATATTAATACTAATGTAACAAAGTTGACGCAGTAAAATTTTTTGATAAAACATGCAGCACCTTTAAATTCCACTGCCGTTAAGTTTTATAACTATTATCTTTACAAATTGATCCTGACGGACTCAAAGTAAAAATCAAGGTGGTGATAAAAGCACACTGGAGGTTTTTATTCATCCTGGTCACGTAGGGGACAGCACCTGAGGGAGACGTAACCCTATACCCTCCATCCTCCAGCGACTGGTATTCTGTCTGCAGGGCCAGATGTGAGGGTGTGGTTTGTGTGTGTGTGTGTGTGTGTGTGTGTGTGTGTGTGTGTGTGTGTGTGTGAGTGTGTTGGGGGAACCTTGAAGAACAGCCCCATGTCCTGCTTGTCATCTTCCTACTAATGAGGGGGCACAGCAAGGGGGGGAAATGCCCTGGGATGGCTGCTCACAGCTGGCTGTGTGTGTGCCTTTCTTAGTGTGTGTGTGTGTGTGTGTGTGTGCCTCCACTGCAGTGTGCATTTGTGTGTACTGATGGATTGGTGTGTGTGTGTGTGCGTGTGTGTGTTTAGGGGGGATGTTCTCAGAAATGGGGATGCTGGGGTGACAGGCAGCAGGTTGGGGGAGGCACTTGGCTTGCGGCTTAGCGGGGCCAGATGTGTGCCGTAGACTTTGCAGATGTTTCCCATGATGCCTCATGTTAATTGCTGGAGTGAGGTTCATTTAGGTCAAAGGGGCTGCATCTGTTAAAGAGGCAGAGCTGGAAGGCAAAGACCTCTGTCATTAACTCAGTGTGTGTGTGTGTGTGTGTGTGTGTGTGTGTGTGTGTGTGTGTGTGTGTGTGTGTGTGTGTGTGTGTGTGTGTGTGTGTGTGTGCGCGTGTTTGTGCGTGTGTGAGAGAGAGAGACACACAGATTACATGTATTTTTTATATTTCCACTTTACTTAAAAAGCCTGTCGCACTTCATTTATCTATACTAGGCTATATATATATTTAATCATCGGCTATTTCACACACTTAAGGCGGCTACCAATATTGGAATACATATTTTAAAATGTAAAACAATATTTATTGAGATTCTTAAATGAATATTTTGACATTTTGGGAAATATGATCCTTTCTTGCCCAGTAAGATGAGAAGATTGAAACCCCTACTGTGTCGTGTGATTACACAAACAATATATAGCATGTTAAGAAGTAAACTTCTGAGGTTCTGTTAAGTATATTTCTTTAGTTTCCAACATAGCCAAGCTAGCTGTTTCCCCCTCTTTCCAGTCTTCAGCTAAACTAAGCTAATTATTTAGGCTTAACTTCATATTTAGAGTACAATTTTGAGAGATGTATCAATCTTCTCATCTAGCAAATAAGAAAATTTACTATAAAGCCGGACTTGTCTTTTCCCTCCATTCAATGAGTCAGTTTTCTGCAAAAAGATGAATATTTGTGTAATATGCTTTCTGGTAAACAACAAAAGAACCCAGATTGAGTTTCAAAACAGCTGTCATGTGTGTATTATACAGTCCAATCTGACACACGTGAGCACACATCAATCTGCCGACTTACTGTTGTGTATTCAAAGTAATAGAGGCAGTTGTCGGTCAGAATGAACCACCGTCTCTTCCACGTCTTCACCCTGCCGCCTGCGGAGAGAAACACACAACATTTCTGAGTTCGAACTTAAGAGGTGACAGTGTTTGTGTATGTAGAGGCTAACCTGCAGGAGACCTCAGCTCCACGTGCCACATCTGGTTCTGATCATCAGCTCTCTGCATTATTAGACTCAATCAGAGGGGGGATACTCCCCTCCAGCACCCCCTCCCAGTTTGAAAAGATTGATGCCTTGGGGCTCCGCAGGCGAGCGGCTGTGGCTTGTGAAAACACACCACATACGTGTGACAACTAAAGCAGGAGTGAGTACAATGAAATATCTGAATGTAGGAATAATATAAGGATATCTCCTTATAAGAGACACAATCTCTCCATCTGCCTCCATCATCAGATAAAAGTAGATTAATAGGATTATTGGATTTTCTGTTAATTACACCATCAGTGATGCAATGAGTAATTTACCTATGTAATCAAAATAACATAATGTGGCTGATGTCAATGTACAGTCTGCAATATGTGCACCATAATAACATGTTTGCTGACTTTACAGAGTACAAAGCAGCCGTTACTGATGTAATCAATATGTAATGTTCACTTGACCTAGATTTTCACTATATACTGCTAGCTAGACTAAAATCCAACATCTACATTATGTATGAGCAATGTTTACTTTCAGATGCATCCGCTGCATTTTACTCACTAAAATGGAAGGAGCATGTAAAATAAAGTCTAGTATTCCTGAGTAAATACAAAATACATGTTTTACTCTGCTTCAGTGAAACCATATGGCAGCCGTTTATTCCCCATAGCCATATGTTTAATTTAATCCTCAAAACCTGACAGTTGTTACCAGTTTTAGGACCCTCCATGTTTGCATTGTCTAATGCAGATTTATCATTCACTTGTTTAAGGACACTGTGGAGAAGGAGCTCAAATAAATGTGAGACTGTTCAAAATTTTGTGGCAGTTAAAAGTTTTTTTTAAATCTGGAAATGTTGACAAGCACAAAATACAGCGAGCATGTAGTTAGACTTATTCATTTTTTAATACACATTACTCAGTTTTTATAATGTATATTACTGAGTGGGATCAAATGTTTCCCATGGTTTATATTTAATCAAAAGGTTATTTGTTGGATGCAGAACAGCCACAATACTGCACACTGACTGATCATATATCCAGATTAAATATTGATTAGATTGTATGTCAGACTGAACACATGACCAGCAGAGGTGCTGTGTTTGAGACCCTTCTGCAGATAGTAGGCGTACTGAAATACACTGTAAGAGAAGAATGCTTTTCACACTGGATGATTATGGATTCGGGCATAGCAGCAGGCTCAGTCCTGGTTAATAGAGTAGTGTAATGAGAGCTTATGGAGCTTCACAGCCATAGCAGTGCAGCAGTATGTCATAATCAACTACCTGACGGACCAGCAAAGGGCCCAATCTTCTCTCATTAAGCATGGACTCCTCTGATGGAGCTAAAATTAGCGTGGAATTCACTAATGGGAAGAATTGGACCTAAAATGATGTGGCAAGTGCAGCTGGTGGGATAGAGAGCAAAAGAGAGAGAGATCTGTATAAGAAGAGAGAGAAGCAGCAGTGTAGGGTACTGAGCCCTGTAGTACAGCAACAGAGGAAGAAGAAATAAAATATGTGAGGGTCTCCTTTATTTCACTGCATGACCAGCCACGCAACGGTAGGTACGCATTCCCACAGCGCAGACTCAAGCAGCCCATTCACTAAGCTCGAGCATGACTGCATGTTCTGGCAGAGAGCTACACAGGAGCTGTGTGATGCACAGGGCGGTCTCTAAAGGTACAGAGCAGGAAGTGACCTTCTCAGCCGAACCCTGTTTGGTTGCCAGGGAATCTACAATGAAGCAAACGTCATTCGTGTCAGAGCAATGAACGTCAGCATTACTTGGAAGAATATTTCCAAGCATTGAGGCAGTGACTAATCAGTGATACTAAAAGATGTGGCACTGTGGTTTGATGATGTGAACAGTTATTTTTCATGCTAAGATAAATAGTGCTCCACATGTGCACCAACTGAGACGAGCCCTGTGTATCATCCAGCCTCCTCCAGAGCCACAAGAGGAATGCAGCCAATCCCCATGCAGTATGAGAGATCACTGACCTCCAAATCGCCCTTTCCTTTGAATGAGATAACCCATCACCTCAAAATGCTGTTCTTATTTGACCAATAACAATTCAATAAGCCATATATAATGAGGCGGCTAGCATGTTCAGGGGCCCGGTGTGCTAAGGAGTTCATGGCAGCCAATGCCAGGGAGTGAGCACTGTGATGAACCGGGAGGATGGAGGAAGGAGTGTTACCTACCTCCTAATACAGAGATTTAAGAAGGAACAGCCATCACAGAACAGAATGAAAGAACAGAACAAAAAGTGAAAGGGCGAAAGGTTAGAGAGAGGGAGTGAAGGAACAAAAAACACAGAAGGATTTTGAAAGACACAGCGAGCACAAAAATCACCATGCCAGAGAGACGGAAAGAGAGAAGTTGAAAGGAGCATGCTCTAAGTGAAAGGAGAGGAAGGAGAGGAGAGACAATACGAGATAAAACAAAGAGGAGAGGTCACAAGATGAAGGATGGAGAGAGATAAGACAATTTGCAGGTTTCCTAGAAACCTGTCTAGCACCATAATGGAGGTGAACAGTTTTGGGGCAACAGAAGAATTCTGTTTGTGCAGAAATCATGAGCTAAATGACATGTGTTTGGTAGTGCTATTTAATGTGGTGACTAATATTACAAGCCTGGAGAGGCCCACATTTTACCATATGCAACTCAGTAACTACTATTACCTTTTCTTCAGAAGAGTCAACCCTCTTAATGTGAACAACTTTTGTAGCCAGCTAATAAGCCAGCAGGACCCTGAGTGTAGTGTTTCCACACAGGGAAAATTAACACAGACTATCACATGTGTTGATGCACTGTTTTCTCTCCCAGTGTTAGTGGAAAGGGCTCACAGCTAAAAACAAGCCAAGAGTCTACAGCCATGCTATCAGCTCTGTGAGGATCTACTGAGGCACAGCAGTGCTTTGAGCTAAATGTTCACATCGGCATGCTAACGTACTCATAATGACGATGCTAACTTGAATCACCAAGAACAGGTAATTAAAACAAAGGACTGTAACAATTAGCACCTAGTCAGACAGGTGGCACAGTGCACATTGCACATGATGCTGCACATTCTGGGACTTCACTCAGTCTCCTTCACTAATTCCTGTCTCATGACTGATTGAAAACCATGCCACATTTCTTTTATGAAGCAATTCAGACAGAACAGAGTTATATAAAATTTACTTGCTGAACAAATCCATTGAACGCAACATTGAAATGGAATTATTTTATATAATATTACCAACTCAACCCTGTTACTGGGCCCTTAAAAAAAGTTTAAAAGCCAAATGTTTTGGTGAGATTGGTGTTAGCATCAGCTCATGACATCTGCCATCACATACCTTGCATCATTTCCTGTAAGTGAAATGTAGCATACTGGCACTAACTAATTACTTTTAATGTTTAATTCTTCTGAAATGGACAAAATACAATCATCTATTTTCAGCTGTTGTTGCCCAAGAGCTGTCCACCTCCAACATGGCCACCTGAAAGCCCGTTATAAACAAACAAACAACACAAACAACACAAACACTTATCATCAGGGAAATAAAGGACACTGCTCATCAAACTGATGTCCAGGAACTGCTAACATAAATCAACATAACCAAGGTTACTTTGTGGCTGTAAATGCACATACCGAGCTTCAAGAGCCAGCCTTCTCTGTCGGGGTTGAAGAATGTATGCGTCAGATCATTCCCATCATCCTCTGGGATTTTGAAGGGCTCATTTTTGATGCTGTCGTAAAGGTTCTGCAGGCAGAGGAGGAAAACTATTAATCAAAAAGGGAAACAGTGGAGGAAATGCCTCATCTGTATGGTGTAGGTGTGACAAAGCGGTCACAGAGATCAATCATCACACACACAAACACACACATTACAGTGAAACCTCACCCTGAGAAGCTCCTCTGGCAGATCTCCTCCTTCATTGATGCCTCTGTTCATGGAGATAAAGCGCTCCACAGGGGGCTTGTCTCTGACGTTGGGATTATGTAGGCTGGTGTTCAGCATGATGATAGCGAATGACAGCACGTAGCAGGTATCTGAGAGCAACACAAAGGGAATCAAATGGGTTTCAAAAGCGTACGTCCCGCTATAGAGACCCCATTTATACACAGTATTAACACATACAAATCCATATCTGAATATCTATATGTCTGCAGTTATAATCACGGTCTGCATGTTATTACCAGTTCTTATTTTCCTTTTATTTTTAATTTTCTATGGTGGACATTGTACATTTGACAGGAAATCATGCATGCATAGTCTAACATTTGCAGGTTTCAGTACATAAAACAGTAAGTCATCAGCATATGGTGAGATTTTGTGTTGACCTTTTTGTGTTTCCATTTCTTATTATACATTAAGCCATTTGGAATAATGCTATTATATGTATCAAAGAGGACTGGGAAGCAAGTTTTTTGTATTTAATCTAAAGGCATTTTGACAAAAGCTGAGAAAGATACAGGCACAGGGAAAATACTGTGGTTTAATCTCTCTCTATTTCACTAGTGCATCACCTTTAATACTGAGCAAGCCAGGTTTTTTTTAATAATCATTTTGAATGTGTGCTGCAAAAAAAAAAAAAAAAAAAAAAAATCTGTGGTATGAGAGAGAAAGTAAGGGGGGGCCGGGCTTTAGTGTCTCTACTGTGTGTTAATGTTCAGACACTCACGGGCCAGTGGCTGCCTGTAAATGAATCATTCATTCCCCTCTGTCTGTCTCCTCTCACTGACACACTTTAGTCCTGGCTGTCCTGCGCTGCCTACTGTCTGCTTGCTAACACGCATTCTCCATAAAAAATAGAGGAGCTTTGCACACAGTGCTACTACGGGGCAAGAGGTGCTGGTATCTGGGATAAGTATGATGAAGCACTGAGAGATACAGCTCATTCCCCTGGTAATTAAAGATCCCGGATCATTTTATGTTTTTATGGGCTCTGTGTGTGGTTACTGCCTACACACATGGTTCTAAGCTGCTGTACGGCCTGCGCCCACAACTTTCGCAAACACAAACATGCATGCCTGTCTATGCTAAGATTGTGCACAAGACTTTATGGGGCCACTGAAAAAATATTTCATTGAAATGTTTGACAGGGTTATAACTCTGAGAAACACTATGCAGGGAAAATAATTGAACGGTGACCACGCCAAAATCAGTATACTGTCACTGTCTCCCACCCGATATATCTAAAAAGTCTAACAAATGGACTCAATTTGAATTTGCTAAACCCATGCCTGAGTTGACAAAACTTCAAGAATGTTTCCTCCATGGGACCACAGGCACCCTGAACAATCTTGTACACAATGGGTTGCTCTACAATGTCTTTAATTATTTACTGACTGTTGTAGTTGTAGGCTTTGTTTATCACAAGTCCATGTATCACTCAGCCAGAATAAGTCTTCTTAAATAATGGATGTCCCTTGTTTGTTGCTGGTTGTTTACTCTGAACTCATCTGCAGCAGTGAATTGCAGTTACTGTAATCTGTTTAATCCTCATTGAGCTTTAGTTACAGTAACTCTTATGGCTTAATGATTGAAATGCATAAAAAAACAGGTCATCACTCAATGCACCCTCGGGCTGTACTTCTGTTGGCACATTAGCCTAGGCTGCCCGTCACTGCATTGACTTGGTCCAAAATATTGGATTTGACACTTTGCTCATATACATGTATATATATATATATATATATATATATGGACATCTTGACTATTTACTATTGATTACTATTCAACCAGAGGTACTTATCCCAGGGGGTACTATTGCAGTTCTCAAAGGGTACATGGAAAGATTCATAAATTCAATTAATTTGTAAAAAATTCACACTGTGGTGAAAACTTGAAAAGTTTGCTAAAAAGCAGTAGATAAATGGTTTAAATATACATCCATAAGTAATTAACAGTTAGCAAAATGTAATGGATTAAATGGTTAGCTAAAAGAAATACAGTTTTAGCTGAAAGTACTGGATAAGAGGTAAATATAGATAGCGATATTCATGGAAATGGAACAGCTAAACCAAAGTTAGTTAAAATATTGGAAATTTGATCAAACTGACCTAAATGCTGACTGTTCAATTACATGAGAAAAATAACCACTTATATATAATAGAAAATCCACTTATAAATAATTAATAGTGTTAAATAACATTGAGTTTAAAATTTAAATTGAACATGACAGGGCGTGTCAGTGGAGCTCTGACAGGCCTGTGGGGGTATGTAACTTTGGGAACCATTGGTTTACATGACAGTAGTCTGCTTTGTGTCTGACCTGTTGACTGGAAGACTCCAGGGTTGCACTGGCAGTACCGTGAGGCAAAGGCCTCCATCATACGGTCGATCTTCTGAGCTTCACCTGGCAAACGGAAACTCCACAAGAACTGCCTACAATTAAAGGGAGAGGAAGGGGATTTAATTTCTGATACCACATGGAGTCTACACAGGACATTGTTGGAGCTGTTGTAATTATCATATTTTTTCAATATTTGGGTTAATCATTCTGCTGACCGTAGTGCTTGGACGAGGTTGAGGTCTGCAAACTCGTGCAGCTCCACAAAAGCCTGAAGCACCTTGATGTTGAAGTCATCCCTGGTGGAAAAAAAGGAGGATGAGAAAAATCTGATTTGCAATATTATTCTATCTCTAAGACATTCCTTTTCCTTTTTTTTTGAAAGAACAAGAAGATCATTTGGGAGATAACAAAACACCTCAGAGAAGATTTAAGATAAATCTGAACACGATGTGAACCCAGAGGACAGGGTGGGGAAAAAAAACATATTTCCTCCATGAAAGCATTTCTCAACCTGAATTCCTGTTTCTCAGCATTCCTGTCATGTTTGTGCCCTTATTCATACCGGGCGCTGAGCGTGGAGTCTGGAAGCAATTAAAACAGCTGGTCACTGTAGAGTATTTCTCCACCCGAGGGGGGGAAACGGTGCGTTTGACTGATGAAAAACAGCTAAAACCGAAACCACACAGAATCCTTTTTGTCAGAGGTTTGTTTGGCCATCGGAAGGATTTTGGAGGAAAAGTCAACGACTGCTCTCGGGCTTGTGGTTACAGCTTCTCTGATCAATGTTTGTTGTACATCGGGGTCCATGATCCTGATCCTGTATGGTCTTTGTTTTGTGTATTGTTCAAATGAAAACCAGGAATTTTCAGACTTACCGCTGTATGATTTTTTTGTGGAAAGAGGCAGTGGAAAGGTTGTGGAGAGTACAGAGAGCGTTGGCTTACATGAAACAAGCAACAAACTTGGATTGCAATAACATTCTTGGATTATTTGGATGATGACTTGGGGGCTTTTCTTCTCCACTGTGTGTTTGTGACTGTACTGTACCCTATACTGGCATATGCAGTCAAATAAAATGAATCCTATTCTATGAGGGTTACATATAAGGTTATTGGTATAGGTACAATTATTACAAAGACACTTGAATGTGGCCTACTGTTTGTGTAAACATAAATCAAAATTGCATCAGTGTGGTAACAGTGAGTGTGTTTCCTGTTCCAAACAAAGTTGAATTACACAGGAACAATAGAAAGGTCTGGTAGTTTGAATTAAGAGTCAGTCACCCACTCAGCCCACATCCCTACTCCCACTATCTATCCTGCTTCTAGCTATTTTTCTCTTCCACTCCCTCTCTGTTTCCCTCCTGTTTTCCCCTCTCTTCATCTCCCTCTCTGCTCAGCATGTAATGATAGGTTCCTGCTCCTTGCATAAGCTCAATTAGTGATAATTACTGAGCGTAAACCTTCAGCCTGTGTTTAGTATGATTTCCACTGGGTAGGTGGCCTCTTTGATGATCCTCCATGAATAAAGCCTATTGCCAACAAGAGGAGTCCCCAGAGTCCCCCTCCCCAGCTGTCAGCCTCATTCACAGTGTGTGTTTGTGTGTGTGTTTCATTGTTTCTGACAATGCTGATCTGTCTGCCGGTCCACAATCACCACCTGTACTCAGGTAAAATAACGCAGACTGGAGTTGATATGAGTCCCCGCATAGGAAAAGTGACAGAATATATTCAGTTTTGCCAAACAAGAGCTCATTTTTAACTTTTTCATGCCAGGAAAATTACATTTAACTTTGCTTCACTCAGTTAAAACAGCTGGTTTGTGACCAACACAAAACACCAGAATTGGCTTCAATTGTGTCAGTGTGTGGAGTTCAGTCAGCCTGACCCACAGATTCATTCATCTCCCCCTCTTATTTTCTCAATGACATTTTCTCCTGTGACATTTGTGGTGCTAATCAGTCATTGGTGTTGTTGTTTCCGCTCCACAAATCTCAAAGATCACCTGTCAGTGAAAGAGTACAGCTCTGAGATTTTATGTTGATAAAATGAATATGTTCTTCAGGCACAGCATGTATCAAAACCCAGATTATTTTCTGTATATAGCTAGGTCGATAAATAGATCAACAGATCACCCAATATTGACTTATTACAGATGGTAATCGCAAAGATAAGAGCGGATAAAAATGCAGGACATAAAACCTTATCCGTAGGGATCCGTATTAAAAATATTTGTTTATGTAAACAAAAAGACTATTGCTCGAATTATCATGATCCGAATTTTTACCCTCTCAGAAAAAGGCTATAAAACAAAGTACCGTTACTGCTGGCAGAAATATAAGATAAGGTACAATATCACACTGAGTGTTCAGAGCAGCAAATGTAAGGACTGATTACAAGTTGAACTGATTATAGGTTGAATCGTTGCTTTGTGTTTAATCAACTGAGGATAATGAAAAGCAAAATGGCCATACTGTGTAAGCAAAAATAGCGCTGATTATACCTTTAAATTACGGTATATTATGTAAAGTACAATTCACGACTTTCTCAGGATATGTGTTGCACATACTTAGAGAAAACATTTTTAATGTATAATAACTTTTTCCAGTTAGTTATTTCAAATGAAATACAGACAAAAGCTGGACATAACGAAGCTCTTCTGGTTTTGTGCCTAATCAATTTGTGACACTAAACCTTTGATGTGCACTCACATACAGCTCCCTTTTCCTGGTTTTTGATTCATAGTATTTTGTCCCTCCTAGCCTCATACACTATGTTTAACTATCTAATCTCACCTTCAGATAACACCATCCATCTCACTAACTGCAGGACTTCCTTTCTTCTTCATTATCCAGCAGTCTGGCCTGAGATGTGAGCAGCTGCATGGCCCTTTTACTACCAGTTATAAGTCCACATATGACAACACACCCACACTGACTCAAAGATTCATGTTGGGGGGGCAATCATGTTCTCCCTCTTTAATCAATAAATCCAGGCCATAATTTCCTTCTCTAATAACAGAGGGGGCATGAATCTCATGTAAGGAGGACTTTCTCCTGCAGCGTGATAAATGCTCTGTCTCACCTCTCGCCTAAGTAGTCTCCGATGACAGTCTTGTTGAGGCCCTCGCCTTTGTAGAGGAACTGCGCGATGTCTTCGGGGGTGTGCTGAAGGAGGTCGTTCTCCAGCAGGAACTGGATTCCCTGGAGAGGAAGAGGAGAAAACAGGATGGCTGTTCGTCTCAATTGAGGAGGGATGATGGAAAATGACAGGGTTTCACAACTGAGAATGGATCGCTCTTCACACCAGCTCTGGAAATCACTCCTTTCAAGGCTAGAGAGACACTGGAGGCTGTGGTGGTTTATGATGAAAACACGAGACCATGCAGTACCTTCTTTGGATCCATGTTGAATTTCTTCCTGCCCATGGCAATCTGCTTATTTCTCTGGGATGTTTTACTGCAACACAGAAACATGAATGTAGAGATTTAATTAGGTTACTCCACTTATTTACCCTTAACAACTCTGAAAATAGCAGACAGTCCAGCACCTGAATATCAGACAATATACTTTATTTATAGGAGCAACAGAGAGTATTATTTCCTTCCACATCTGTTCTACCCACTATATGTGTACATGTTTGAGTCTAATCTGAAAAACATATCCGCTCACACAAACTCAACAACCCCCCACACAAATATGTGTGTGTGTGTGTAATGCAGGTGATAAAGTGACAGATGAGAGGACAAAGCATACGTGACCTTATTGACAGACGAGGAACACTATCACTATTGGTTTTATGCAGCTGTTGGTTGGACAATATACACAGTGTGGCCAGGCTGTTGGATTCACTATATTGTATAGAATAATGCTGTTAACATTTTGCCAAACAATAGGTGTAATAAGTCACTGTTTTATCTATACAAACACATCCTCTTCCAGTTTATTCAGCCTATGTCATTGGAAACAAGAAACATCTTTGTAATCCAACTTCTCTGACCTAACATGCAAATCCCAAACCCAGTTTAGATAAAGACAATTAGTCAACCATTATTCTTGTGCTGGCTATTTTTGGCTGAAACACTATTAGTGTTATTTGGGGCTTTAGAGGTCATGTTCTGGATTCTTTGGGGGAATTTGGGGATTTGGGGGATTTTAGTGACTTGAGAAGCAAGACAGACAAACTAGACAGGAAATGGAAAGAAAGAGGTGCGACAACAAACAGCAAAGGGCTGCAGGTTGGAATCGAACCTGCACTTAGGACTGAGCCTACATGGGGCGCGCTGTACCAGGTGAGCTACCATGCAACCCCAAGAACAATTTAAAGACTGTTATTGCTTTTTGCCTTGGTGTCATAATGTTTCTAGTTAAATAACAAAGAGTCATGAGATACACTCAGTGGCCACTTTATAAGGTACACCTGTACAATCTAATGCAATGCAACAGCTCTGACTTAAAACATTAAATATTCAGTTTTTGTATTAATTCAACTCTATGTTTTAGCATGATGGGTTGTACTGGACTGGATGAAAAACGTAACACTGTAAGTTTTATAAAGGTTGATTTTATAGCAGAACTGTTGTATTGGATTTCAACAGATTGTAGAGATGTACAAACCAAGGTTGTATTTTAAAGCCACAAATCGCTTAACATACTTAATAATTGATTGATTGCGGATACATTATACATGTAAACATCATATGCACAAACTACACTGGTGCAGTAAATGGCATGACAAAGCATCTTTAGTGACTTACCTTTCTCCAACACACGTCAGCTGTTCGATCTCCGTCATGACCTCAGCTATCTCAAACTTCAACCTCTGAGAGGAAAGAGTGAGACATGTCACATGGTTTCTTTCTTTGCATTAAAACAGGATAAAGTGCGGCATGAGATGGGATACGGTGTACACGGTGGAATATTCATCACTTTTTGTGAGCAAACTGGCTGTACAAAGATCTACTGCAGGTCAATTTGCATGTCATACAGCATGCAAATAGAGCAACAGTGCTGCAGAAGATAGCCAAAAAAAAGAGATAATGACTAAAGTTCAGAAGTTAAAAATAAGAATATACTATATACCAAATAATTTTTTTTCAGGTCCATATTACAATGATATGCTATCAATACAGTGCATGACATTTATCAGAAAAAGCTAGACTATCACCATAGTTACAGTGCACTGTTAATGAAGAGAGGCTTCAGCTACTGTACAGACGTTATATTGCTCATTTGTCCAAACACAAACCTCAATATCATCGAGCAGCTCTCTCTTCCTGCGTCGGATGTTTGACAGCTCATCCCTCTCCTCCAGGGACAGATCCTCAGGAACTGAAACACACGATGGAGAAAACACAGCACACCTTAACTCTCATTTGCACACAGCTCACACTCATTATACCCGCTCAGCTCACCGCAGATGAGGAGAAAACAGAAGTAAAGCCCTAAATCCTAAATCTAGTACTCACAAGTTCTAAAGGAGTTCACCACCAGAGATGGAAAATCGAAAAAGATTCATCATCCTCCCCCTCATACAGTGAAGTGACAGGGCTGCTGCTGTTGTGGCTGCTGCATTGACTGTTTCCCCTTGTTCAGCTGGAACAACACATATCAAGAGCCTGCATGTTCGTCTTAATTAACTCGCCAAAGAGAGAAGGCGAAGGGTCTTAATTATTCCACTTGAAAGTGTTTTGCCCCCACCCTCCTTCTCCATTTGGCTCAGGGGGAAATTCTATTAATAAAACCAATCCAGATTAAGTTTTCTTTCATTAAAAGTGAATTTGGTAATTTAACACGGCCTAAGACCCTGATTCCCCGGCCGTGAGGGTTTCAGAGCCCCCGGGCATAAATGAGCAAGAAGGGAGAATGATTCACTTTCTGTCCGCTGTTTCTTCCCCCCTTGTTTTCCACTCTTGTATTTATGCCTCAATCTTGTTTTTCAATCTTTTATCCCTCTTGTCTCACCCACGCACATTTTATTTCTCAATTTTCCTCATCCTTTCTGAAGCACAGAGAGCCTGTGCAATATTGCTTCATTAAGCCAGCTTAGAGGCAGAAAACGCAAATCTCTCAACAGGAAAATGGCACCACTAATATCACAGCCACAGCTTTGTGCCCACATTTTGCTAAAGGAGAGATACATAATAAAAAAAAAAATCACTTGTTATTTTCCCTCGCAGGCGGGAAGCAGTACCAATTAAAGCAAAACAAGGTCACTGGGCTCAAGAGGAAGCATTCGGCCCGCTTTTAATTCAACAGCTTGTAAAAGAGTTGCGTTCAGAGGAGCCAAGTATTGTTGTAGATGGTATGCACGTTAACAGTGAGACAAAAAGCGCTTCCTAACCTAGTCGTTTATTCCTGAAGCACCGTGATGAGGATCAGGTAAACAGCAGCAGAAACAGCTGAGGGAATTCCTTTGTGGGGCCATGTTTTTAATAGACAAGAGAGGGGATATAAAGGCACAATGAGTGAAAGTATGACAATAAAGACGTTAATTAGCGTTGCTAACCTACAGCAACCTCACAGCACTTATGCAACACAAATGTGAGCGCTGTGACTGTAGCTGTCCAATTAGTGCTCTTAAAAAGTTTCACGGTTTTACACAATTTCTTTAATCTTGTACTTGAGGAATGTTGGAATGGAAAACTTTTTGGCCTTTAATTATTTAATATTTAATGGAGGAGCCTGTATCAACTGTCCATGTGTCCCACAGGACATCTCAGGAAAAGTTAAAACTTGAAGCATCAGTTCGACCTTCTAGGAAACACTTGTTTTTGCTTTCCTGAGCAGATTAATACCACTCTCCCAAAATGTGGAACTGTCCCTTTAAACTGGTTGGGCTGCTAAGGGCATTAATATGAAATGTCAAAATGTTTGACTCAGATACAACAACACAGTCACATTTTGACAAAGCCTGGGGGGCTGATCCGATTTCTGCTTGTGTTTTGATGGTTACTACAAAAAGTGATTGGCCTGAGGAGACACCATAATTTGAGGTCAACAGTTCAAACTTCAAAACGTTGTTACTGCTACTGCACTGTTCCAGTTTTAATAAAGCTGAGGGACCACACAGCTACTAAATGGCCCGAGGTTTAGGCACATGAATTATTAATTCATTCATTAATTGGTGTTACAGAGTTTGCACACAAGATATATTTTGCAGAGTTGAAACATCATCTAGAGCAGTGATTCTCAACCATTTTGATGTCAAGGACCCACTAATTGATTCACATAAAGGCCGAAGCCCAGTATTTGATAAGATGTAGTCTCAGAGATCCCCGCTTGATAAGATACTAAGATAGTTATCCCATGATAGAGAAACCTATGAACATAGTGATTCTTATACATTCTCTCATTGGGCTAACTTCTAGTCAATGAATTAATAGTGAAATGAAAATATTCCCCATATTTTGGGACTGTTGCCTGCTAAACATCAGCAGGTTAGCATGTTCAAATACTGACGTTAGTATTTAGCTCAAGTGCTAGCCTGGCTGTAGACTCAAATACATCTCAAATGTATAAATGTGTTTTGACTTCTATGATAAACTGAATACCTTTTGGTTTTGAGCTGTCGTTTGGACAAAACAAGCAAATCGAATTTAGTAGACCAAAACATTAATCTTAGTGGAGAAAATAATTCTTCAATAATAGAAAAGAATCATTAGCTGCAGCTCTAATATTTGGATTCTTGTTTCGTCTTTACGAATATGTCACTCAGAGGAAGGAACTGTGCCACAGCTCCATGTTTCCCATTTGCCTGAGGCTGTGCATTAGCTAATGGAGATATCCACTGGCTGCAACAATGTGCATGATTACAATCTTGATTCATTATCTAATTTAATGAAAAGAAGAGGATGCTCCCTTTAATAAAATCCTACCACCATTATCCTCCAATCCAGATCTGTCTTACTGGATATACTGTAATATATGTCTTTCCAACCACATGTGATAACAGAGGGGACTATAAAAACCAGTCCAAATGTCTCTGTTCCAGTGGATAATCTCGTTCAGTGGTGGGGGGCTCCTCTACAGAGGTGGTCCACCAATTACATTATTAACACAGTTCCCCCTGTGACCTTTTTATGAGTCATTCAGGAAATTAGTTTAGTGTCTTAAGCAAGCACAGAGGGAGTCAGAGCTGCCAAAGCTGGTTGTTGCCTCCATATTGGCTCAAACCAAACATAGCCACGCTTGAACGATAATCTATTAAAATCAATTACGCCGTGAGTCAAAACTAGACTTGAAGCCCATTTTAACCTTTGAGACTTCTAAAAGAAATCTGCTATATGAAAGCTCAGAAATCCAGCGTATTGAGCGGTGGAGTTGAGTGGGTCCAAAGGGTTTAAACATGTGCACCACAGAACAAGAGGCTCCAGTAATTCTCCCCTAAAGACAAAATCCCTCAAAATCTACTTTTAGGAGAAAATCCCCAGCTGCTCTTCACACCCAAAACTAACAACTGTCCCTGGCCACCCACTGAAACTAGAAGCTTTGATGGCATTTGAACTAATGCTGGGATGCTTTGGCACGCACCACCTCCACATCACCTACGTCAACCTTCAGTTTCATAACTTACATGTTTAAGCCATTTGTTAGAAAGGACAGACACAGATTTAAAAAAAAACAATTATCAGGCCTTCAGAACTGATTCAAGGACTTTCCTAAGACCAGTCTCCATCCATTTATACCAGTTGCACAGGAAACGCAGCGAGGTACTTGGAGCACATGGAGCTCAGAGTGAAAATCCCACGCTCACTTAACACTGGCTGCAGTCCCAGTTTTCACTGACTCGTATGAGTGAGAGAGGATTTGTCCAGATCTACTGGCTTTAAACTGGCGACTTTACCCGCTTTAATGTCTTTTAAAGTGGGTGAGCTTTAAAAAAAGATAACCCTGTTACTCTGGTTGGCCCTGCAGCACACTGGGAGACATGCAAAGAAGAGGGAAAGCAAGGAAAACTTCTTCTGGATCCAGACTCTAATCTGAAACCCGCCACTCCCAATCCCTCTAACTGTAGACGATGACATGCACTGCATTAAAGCCTGGGTCACAGACGTGCGGATAGAATTGCCCATACACACCAAGGCCAGCTGGCACTAATCCCACAAACTCGCCCTCCCCGCCGCTCTTTAAGCCTGAGTCTGTTAGAGCGGAAGTGTGATGTATAACAGCGTATGCACAGATGTTGCAGCTGACCGGGCGCTGCCTGCCTTTAACCTACTTTGCATCAGTGATGCTGGATAAAATAATGTGACAGCATAGCAGCAGATAGTCTGCTATCTGTCTGCAGAGGCACTTTGGCTCTGAGCCACAACGCAAGAATGCTGGGACATCAGCGCAGAGGCCAATGTGAGGAGAAGGAGGTTGTGATACAGAGGGTGAAAGGCCATGCACACAGGAGACATGCATAATGCCATTTAGCAATAGAGATACTAGATAATAGAGACACTTCAGGGTTCTGTTCCAGGAAAACCTCATTCAAAATCACATTAACATTTGTAATAATAAAAAAGAGACGTTGTTTATTTAATATGTATGTGTAGATTTTAGATTACAGCTGAAAATTACATCAATAGATCCTTATCAATATAATGAATATAGAGGAAACTACGCTGCCACGTTTTCATGGAGTTGGTTGTTTAACTTTTAATTAATTGCAGTCTTTGCAAGTGCTGTAGATGCTTATATGTCTTAATGTCTTTAATGTTTTTCAAAACCCCAAAAGTACTGAATGAGAGATGGCAATAAATGTAGTTGGTTAGCCAGGACGTCATATGTAGTATTTAATGAGGAAAACAACTGAATCTGTGTATCTGAATCATGTAGTTCTCTTTCCTAAGCTTGTTCAGGCATGATGGTTATAGCGCCTGATGATGAATATCTACTCTAACGCTGCTTAATTTTTCATTTCTCAAACTGCTGTTGCTGCTGAAAATGTAAAATCAGAGCCGCAACGCTGCAGATTGTTTTCTCGATTAGGAAATTCATTGTTTGCAATTAAATGCCAGAAAACAGTGAAGAATCCTTTTTTTTCACCATGACGATCTCCTACATCCCAAGGCGACGTCCTCAAAATGCTTGTTTTGTCTGACCAACCGTCCAGAACGATTGAAGATGTTCAAATTACTATCACATATGATACAGAAAAGCAGCAAATCCTCACAGTTAAATGATTGATTATCAAAACAGTTGACAATTTATGTTGCTTCTGATTAAATATGGGAAAAATAAGTGGTTTTAGCTATACATAAAAAAAAATTTATTTGCATGGCACTTTACACACAAAACACTTGTTCATAGCACAAAAAGAAAGAACAAAAGACAGAAGAAGA